CCAGTAGATAACACAGTGTGGGGCACATGTTGGGTCCATGGAAATGTTTGTTGAATAAGTAAAAAGAAAGCACCGTAATTAATAACTCGACATTAGACTTACCAAGGTCATAGATATTAAAGAGCACATATAAGTTAAATAATAGCCTAGAAAAACTTTCACCTTCTTGCAGTTTTTAAAATTCTCTTTCTTTTTTTGTTGATGTAGCATTGGTTTATAACATTATGTAAATTTCAGGTGTACATCATTATATTTTGATTTCTGTGAAGACTATATCATATTCACCACCCAAAGTCTAGGTGCCATCTATCTCTGTATACGTGTGCCCTTTTACCCTCACCCCTCATTTTTAAATGAAAACAGGAAAGTGCAAGGAATGATATGAATTTATCCTACTTAGCTATGCCAACTATGCCTCTGAGCTTTGTTAACTAGTACTGAATTGAAATCCTGGTGCAGCTAAGGCTGCAACTGAGTAGAACCACACACTAGTCTGCTAGGGATAATGTAGACATCAAATGTGTTATAATAAATAAGATGGGATATTAGCCCAAATATTTAGACCAGCCTCGATAATACCTGTTCACGATTTGTCTCATCCATGTAATCTAGTATCATACAAACTACTGTGTACTTCAACCAAGTTTCTGTAACCGTAGTTTGAAGACAAGAAAGAGGGGACTGCTTCTGTAGGAGGAGGGAGATGGCGTTGGCAGTAGGGGTGAGAATGGTCAGATTCTGCATGAATTCTGAGGTTAGAGCTCCTAGGATTTGTAGGATTCAGGATTTGTTGGATATGCGGTATGAGAGAGAGAGAAGAGTCAATGGTGACTTTTCTAATGTTGATTTCACACAGCCAACATTTTACATTACTGCCGTCTCCTGGGCACCTACCTGGTCCTCCTTCGAAGTTCTCCATCATCACTGTTCTCTCGACAGCATGGATGGTAAGTCCTGGCTGTTTTCTCAGTCTTTCTTTGTTTCAATGGAAAACCACCCTTATGTCCATGGACTTGTTATTTATTCTATTTGCAAAATAGTGAAAATAGCTACCCCACCCTCAAGTATTATCTGAATGGCTCAAACGAGATCCTGCTTCAGTCACTGAATGTTATTTGTTTTAATCAGGTGGGATGTCTCCTCCTGGCAGCAGTCATTATCTCTCATAATACTGATAGTTGGCATATCCTTAAAATGTGCCAAATGCTGCTCTAAGGTCCTTATGCATAGTAACTGATCGAATCCTCACAGCAACCGTATTTTATAGACAGGAAGACAGATGTTTAGTAACTTGTCACAGGTGAAGCTATCAGAGCAGGGGTTTGAACCCAGGCAGTGTGACTTCAGAGTTCACATTTGCTACTGAAATCTGTTGAAGTGGTTTTAGTCTAGCTCTGACTTAAATTCATACAATCCTTTCTAATTATGTTCATTTTGCAGGGAAGTGTGCAAAATGTTTACCAGTAAAGAGGTATTGCTTTAATTAGCAGAGCTTAGCCTGAGAGCAGCACAGAAATGATTGTGCTGGCTGTGAAGAGGCCCTAACAAATAAAATGTGTTGTTTTCCTGGTTGTGTAATTGAACTCATTGTCTGAACCTGGATTATTTTTTCAAAATCCAAGTTTATTGCACTTTGTACTTTAAAAAGAAAAATCAGAACCAGATGTTGTTAATTTATCACACTGGTATTATGTGAAATTGATTACAGCTTTGATATAATGATAATTTCCTGTTTCCTAAAATCACCAAATTACCTACAGGGCAATTGATGTAATATGAAGTATAACTATTTGCTATGAGATGGTCGTGAAAATAAGTAGAGATTGGGTATGTGTTCTCTAAGAAATCATTGTATCTAACAAAATCTCACGTGGTTGGCATGGCTTCACAGTTTGCTCCAGTACAGATGAAATCAAAATGTTTACTGGTGATAGGGATACTGTTGAACAACATTCCTGCTTACATTCTGGTGGAGAGAACAAGATAATAACAAAAAAATAAGTAGGAAAATATCAGGTAGGTAGTAAGTTGGGAGACACTGGAGTGAGTTTGTATGCTGAGTGGAATGCTCCAGAAGGCGGGGAAGAATGGGTGGTGTTGGGGAGAGAGGGCTGGTGATTGTAGGTGGAAGTTCCTGAGGAGCTGAGAGGGATGGGATCCAGAGTATAAAATGGAGGATTGGCCATAAATAGGACTAGACCCTTCATCCATCATCATAGGAGGAAAAGTAGAGAACGTATGTTCAGGTGTGGTAGTGAAAACTGAGGAAGTCTGATTGCTTGTGTTTTTTTCCCGTAAAACATGAGACAAGATCATCAGCTGAGAGTGAAGAGGGAAGAGAAGGCATCAGCGGTTTGAGGAGGGACAGTGTGAAGTAGAGAAGAGGAAAGCAAGTGTGTTTGGAGGGTGGGGATTTTTAAGCAATATTGAATGCCTGTTTCTTACTGTTGGGTATACATTTAAAGTTAAACCAGTCTGGATGGTGGCTTTTCCTCAGTAAAGGTCACCAGTTGGGGTGCAGGCATGGAGGTGGTGGCCTGTTAGATTTCATCAGGATTAAGATTTTGTCAAGGAACGTGAGGGCATGAGAGAGAAGCAGGGGACTTGAGTTGTTAGAAGGTAGTGATTGTAATGATGGAACATGGAGCCAAAGTGAGGATGTGAGGAATGGAGGGTGAAGGATGGTAAAAGCATTGCAGGCGGGCGGATGGAGTGGAAGTCATTGACGAGGAAGAAATGCTGGGTGGGAGTACTCGCGTGAGTGAGCTGGAAGGAGATGGGGAAGATCTCAGAGGTAAGTTGTGCTTTTGCTGTGGTGACAGGGCATGACCTTGGGAGTAAGTGGCTAAGATGGGGGGAGGACAAGATCGTTGAAAGTGAGGAGGTCAAGAGACCGAGAGACCAAGATGTGGGCTGGATCATCCTTCTGGGTATTGAAGTGACTGAGGACAGTGATGGCAGTGCGGAGGGGGTGGGGGGGTAGGGGGGCAGGACTGGGAGGCTTCCAAAGGGAAACAGCAGATGACAGCAACCAGGAGGGCTTCTTGATGAAAGAAATTTGATGTCGTGATCTGTGTCTTGAAGAAAGGTAAATGGTTCCAAAGTGATAGGGAGCAGAGAAGATGTCAGGGCCCTGGAGTTGATCACCAAATGTTTATTGTGTGCCGGACACTGTTCTAGCCTTTTCAGTGTGAGGTGTGGACGATTAAACAACGTCCACTTAAGGGGATTGCAGGTGCAACCAGATTTCTCTTGTAGGAGCTGCTGAGGATATAGGGAAGCTTGCTGGGAGTAGATTCTGGGTTCCAGAGAGCAGATCCCAGGGTTTGGGAGCAAGGAGGTGGGAAGATGGGGTCAGCATACCATGGAGAAGACAGAGGATTTTTGGTGGTGACTGGGCTAACCTGGGATGGGAGGCATCACGAGATTAGCCCTGGTGTTCTCATGAAAGAAGATGGGTTCAAGGCGAGGAGTATGGAGCCACTAAGCAACATTTTTCACCTGGGGCTCCCAGTGGTGTGGGCCAAGACCTCTTCTTGGAGTGTGTTCTCTACAGCAGCTGGGAATGAAAGATGGAGGAGGGATGTGTCAGCCTCACCAGAGCACAGGGACCCAGATTGCCTCTTCTTTCTTGCTGCATCCTGCACTGTTGGGGTCTTTGTGGACTAAGCAAGTCAAACTAATTGTTATGCAAACTCTGACTTTAAGCTTTAGACCCTTTGTCAGATTCTGGGCCTTGAGTTTGGCTCTTGGCTCTTTTCCTTCTGGTCAGGGAGTGTAGAGTGCTGCGAAGGATATTGATTTGCTGGTCCGGAGATCTCCATCCTAAGCCAGGCTCCTGTGCTGACCTGTTTTACCAGCTGGCCCTGAACAGCCCTTACCCTCTCTGGACTTCAGCCCCTGTCCATCAAATGGGGGAAGGGGAGCAGTGCATGCAAATAATATTTTTGCTTTAAATGCCTCTGATTTTATAAAGGAATAGTGCCTAAATAGAGAAAAAAAAATAGGCACAGAAAGTAAACCAAGAAAGAAGAAATCTAACTGGCCACTTGACATAAGGAGTTCTTCACCTCACTAGTAATCCTGGACATCAAATCAGAACAATGAGCTGCCTTTTTCATTCATCCATCAGATTCGCAAAAAACCTTAAGTGACATCTCAGATATTGGTAAGGTGGTTGGGAGAAACGATACTTGCATACAATGCTAGTGAGAGTACAACCATTTGGAGAATAATTTGGCAGTATCTAGTAAAATTGGAAGATGCACATACCCTACAATCCCTCAGTTCCCCTTCTGATACGTATTCCCAAGAAGCTCTCCCTCATGTGCAAGAAGATGTAGACACGATTGTAGCATAGCTCATATGTCCTTTATTGGAAAATAGATTAGTAAAATGTGATACAGTCTTTCTATGGAATACTATACAGCAATTGAAAGATGGAAACTAGAACTATATGTTTTGATTTAGATCAATCATACGTGCCATGTTGAATGAAAACAGGATGCAGAGTAATACATACAGTGTGAAATACAGTGTGTTGATTATGAATACCTATATATTTATGTAAAAAATATGAAAAATGGAGTGGAATGATGTCAGAATTATGGTAGTGGTTGCAGTGGGCTCTGGAGGCAGTAGTAAGGAATTGGAATAAGATTTGGCATAATAAACTTTTTAAAAAACGATTTAACATAAAGACAAAAAGCAAACAGGACAAAAGGTTAGTGATGAGTAATTCTGGGTGATGAGAGATGAATACTTTTTAATATAATTTTTTGTACATCTCTATATTTTTAAAAAATTTTCTCAAACACTTAAGAAGTAGGGGAATATATATATTTGGGGCCTAAATCTATGTTTAGTGTGTTTTTCTGTTATTCCTTTCTGGATTGAGTTTCTTGGAGGTTGGTGTGCCGGAAGTTGTCTCATTAGCTGAAGTGGCACAAGTAAAGATCTAGCCCAGTGCCTGGGCCGCTGTAGGCCCTGAGCAAATATTGATGCCCTCTTCCTTAGCCCAGTGCCTTCCCAGTGCATTTGGGAAGAGGGAAAGTGGAGACAAGAACCATTATACCAAGCAAACTGGTGAATCTGCAGTCATTTTAATTGCCTTATTAATGGTGGCTCTTTTAATTAACTATGTGTGTCATCATCAGTTTCGCTCAGGTCGGCTTACTTTCTATCCCTTTTCTTCTTTTTCCTCTAGGGGAGGAAGATGATTTGTCTCTGCTGACCGCACTGCTGGAGGAGAATGAGTCGGCCTTGGATTGTAATTCAGAAGAGAATCAACCCTTGACCCAGGAAGATGGCACACCTGACGCATTTGATGAGCTCTTTGATGCTGATGGTGACGGTGAATCTTACACAGAGGAGGCTGTTGATGGAGAAGTGGAGACGATTGAAGACCAGAAGGAAAATCTGGCCACTCTGTTTGGGGATATGGGGGACTTAACAGATGAAGAAGACGTTCCTGCATTGCAATCAACTAAAAACAGAGTCCTCTCCGCTCCTGCTCTCAGTCAAGGGAAAACCAATCAAGAGTTGCAAGGTGTCCTAACTACTTGTTTTCTCTAGTTTCTTTTCAGTAGACTAGATGAAGACTACAGTCTAACAGTTCTCATCAAAATAGCTGTTGATTTAAAGGTGGAGATAAAATAACTGCAAAAAAAGTTGTATGAGTTAGTAGATCAAACATTTAAGACCAGCATTTCAGCGTCAAAGGCCCCCTTATATCAGTGCCAGCCACTATAATTGTTCCTTCACAGAATGGCTCTAACACTTTTCGTGCTTATTACATAAAAATACTACTTGGGGAGGATTTGTATGCATATGGAGCCAAGGACAAGACTACAGAGCTACTACACATTCTATTTGAGCAGGAGATCATTCTTAAACAGAAGCTTGAAGGAGTGCTGCTGTCTTATTCCTGGCATCTTCTCTTATATATTTTTAAATTATAATCAAATTCAGTGGTTGGCTGTTTTTTCTGATACAGGAACCAGCATTTATTGTATTAATTATATATTCTATTTATCAAATAAATAGAATCATTTCTTGACTCCTAAAAACTTGTTAGCTGGGGGTATGTATCTTTGATATCTGTCAGTAGTATAGATTCATAACTAGCTTAGATATTAGAGGTTTGATTACTGGAAATATAAAGTTTATTTCTCTAAGAGAACCTCTTTGAAATGCAAAAGTTCATCATGAGTTCTCAGTATGGGATTATATTGTGAGTCTGCAGGTTTTAGGGGCGATGGGTGGACACCAAAAATAGTTCCAACACTTTCATTGTGTATAATATTTCCTCTGGTCTGGTTCCGAAATTGGTATATTTTTCTTTTGTAGATGAATTAAGGAAGTTGCAAGAGCAGATGAAGTCCTTAGAAGAACAGCTGAAAATGGCGACAATTAAACAACCTGCAAGTCCACCTGTTCTGCATAAATCGCCTGGTAATTAGACTGTAATTCTAGGAACAGTATGCATTTCTGTTATTAAGAAATTGTGACATTGCTCTGCATCCAAGTCCTGCTAAAACAGCTTTTGAGCCCCTTTCTAAATTTCCTTTGCTAATTTCTTTTACTTTTAATCAAGTAGAAAAGTCTCCACGTCCCCCTCTTAAGGAGAAGAAGATTCAGAGAATTCAGGAGTCCACGTGCTTTTCTGAAGAGCTTGATGTCCCTGCTCCACCAAAAACCAAGCGGGTGGCTCGGACACCGAAGGTTTCACCTGCAGGTGTGGTACTCGAGGGCTCTCTGGTTTCTCACTTGCTCTGGCTCTGTTTAAAATAGATTTTGGCACTGATGTGTTTGTGTGTGTGTGTCTGTGTGTGTTTTGTTCTGTCTTACCTGCTCATTGAGAAAAGTAAGTTTCTTGGGAATGGGACCTATATGCTGTATTTTTGTACCTTTTCTCTACATTTTAAAGTGCTTAGAAAATCCTTAGGGAGAAGACGTATTTGGTAAATACTTCAAGGATTGAATTTTTTTTTAAGTCTGTAGTCCTGGAGTTGACTTGAGCTGTGGTAAGTGTAACCACTCAGTTCAGTTCTCATGCTAGCAATCTAGAGATTCAGTCTTCAAGTTTGTGAGATGAAGGCACAGATTCTCTTATAAAGTGACCAAGTTTTATTTGAAGCTAGGTTGTATTAAACCAGGGGGTCCATTTTTTATAAAAGGTTTCTTTACCAGGAGTACAGAATGGTGCTCAGATAAAATTCTTTGAGCACACACATATATATACAGAAAATAAAATGAAGAAGATTTATAAGCCCTTTGTCTTGATTTTGTTATACTGCCTCAGTTTGCCCAAGGTGATTATTATTTGGAGGATCAAAGACAAAATGATCTGGAGATAACATAGCTTAGAGTAAGCAGCATTTTATTGACCACTCGTGTTCAAAAAGGCCCTCTTGAATAGCACTGGCATATGACACAATGGTAGAGAATAGTTGCTGCCTCTGAGTGTTCATATTTACTTAACAACAAATTATATATTCAGTGTATCCACTTATGAATAGTACCCAGACCCTTAGGGCCTTTGGTGTTACTAAGGTATTTCATTAGGCAGTGTCCAGAGTTTAGTTTTGAGGGAGTGGGACACAGGCACGGCTCCTCGAGATTCTAAAGTTCTAGAGTTGTTTTGGCCTCTAGATCTAAAGTTCCTTTGAGGGTAAACAACACAATCTTAGTAAGAGAAAGTGATATTTTATTAAGGAAAATATCCAAGCTTTCTCACCTTCAGGAGCATTATCAAGCTCTTCTAAAACAGGAAAAGTAACCTCATTGGGGATATTTAATGCAAGCAATAGTCAGTAGAATCCCCTAATTCCCCCTCGCCCACTCCACAAATAAAATGAAATGAGATGAAACAAGAGACAAACAAGAAAAGAAAGAGGAGCTAACTTTGGATTTTCTTCAGGTGGAGTTTGATCTGCACACAAATCTGCTAATTATTGCTTCCTGAAGGGGCTCTTACTCCTCTACGGGATCTGCCGTGCTGCTTCATGTGTGGTGAAACTCAATAATGTCATTACATGGAGGACCAGTGCTTTAGAGCTGCGCTGTCTAATCCGGCAGCCACAAACCACGTGTGGCTATTTAAATTCAAATTTGATTAAATTAAATTAGATGGTCAATTCCTCAGAAATACAAGTGAATTTGCGTGATCAATGGTCATGTGTGGCTGATGGCGACCGTATTGGACAGTGTTGGTATAAAACATTTCCATCGTCGTGGAAAGTTCTTTTGGACTATACCACGGAGATTTTGAGGGTAGTACAGAAATGGTCTACGGACTTCCTTTGCTCTCTCTAGATTTGGTTCTTGCCTGTGTTGATTAAAAAAGAAACAGTTCTGTAAAAACAATTTTATAGTTAGTGTGGTTTTCTTTTGATTTAATTTTTGTGTTAATTTTCTAGATCCCAAAAGCTCATCTTCAAAGATGACAAGTGCATCCTCCCAGCCACTCCGAATGACTCCTGGGAACAAGCCTAATGGGATGACTAGAGATCAGAGCACAGGGACCCCCAGGCATTCTGGGGAGCCGGCTCAGCCAGTCTCCGTGGAAGCCTTCTCTGGCCTGAGGCTCAGGTCAGTAACCGGAACAACCCTCTCACTCTGCTCATAGGCCCCACGGATGCCTCCTCTTCCTGAGGACTGAGCCTTTTAGAAATAGTGTTTGTGCAGCAGATGCACACAACACCAACAGCTCTTGAACTTGACAAAAGTTGGTGATAGACTAGCTATATAGCACTGGATTTGACTCATACACTTGCATATGAAATGTTTAAGGATGACTTTCTTTATATAATGAATAAAAGATGTGTATGTAAAAAGGAAATGGACAAATAATAGTATGCTTTATCAGAAACTGACAGAAACAGTGATAGAGACTTTTTAAATACATAGAGCTATTACAGTTTAACCGACATACTAGTATCTTGTATTGGATGTTAAGAAAAATAGCTGTGCTCTTTTTTTTTCTAATAACTTTTAAGGCAAATTTATATTCCTCGTTTATATGTGGAGAAGTTAAGATCTTCAGTTAAAATAGAAATAAATCCCAGGATCAGTTTAACTAAAAGCCTGGACCTTGGAGTCTTCTGTGCTGTGTACCACCACTCCACTGCACCTCCATTATTACGTTATTATTTCTCTCGAAGCCCAGGGGAGAGCAGTAATCCTTGCTCTGAGACCGGATTGCTTTTAGGACAGTCCATCTGAGTAGCTATGTGCATCCGCTCTAGAACACTTAAAGCTTGTCATCTGATTAAGCAAGGGGTGACCAAGTAGCTGCCAACATGCAGTAGAAGTGTATGGTAAGACTCAGTACTCGCCAAAATGGAAAAAAGTACTCACTATCTTAATTTCACTTGAGATAGTCTGAGGGATGGAATACAGCAACAGCTGTGGTTCTCACTGAGGAGGCTGCAGGTTCATTTTCAAGGTGAACGTGCCCCTCCTGAGATGATACTGCCCCAGCCAGTTCCTGGCTGAAACTCCCCGTGGATGATGAAGGATGTGCGTTTACTGCACATGTGAATCGAATGGAGGTAGACGGAGTTGAAACTACTCAGCCAAAGCTTCTGAGGTGCCTGCAAATTGAGGGGATTACAGAATTGTTTGTCTCTTTATAATTGTTATACCTGGACCTCCGGCCATAAAAATTACTCCGAAGGATGGTAATCTGATAGTAACTGATTTATTAGCTCACAGAAATCAGGCAAAGAAAAGGATTTCTCCATCTACATCAGTGTTTTTCTCTTGAATCTTCTTCATTGTTCAGAGCTAGCTCTAGGACTTTCTATTCCAAAAGACTTCTAAAATAGTCAAAAGGCATTTTTTTTTCCAGTTTTCTCTTTTTCTTGAGTATACTATACAGTCAAACACAGAACAGATAGTAATATTTTACTAGAGAAAAGCAATTTGCAAATTCACAAGTTTTTGTGCAGTCATTAGGAACAAGAATATATTAATTGAAGCTAGATTCAAAGCTTTATTATTTATTGTTATGTGAAAATGTTGGCTTAAAAAATCCAATTAGAAATACTAGAAGCTGTGAAATTCTTATAGAATTGATGAAATGTAAATATTTATTAGTATCAATTTATGATTTTGTATTAAAGTGAAAATAGATTATTTTTAAGAGAATAACATTATTATAGTTTGTAAGAACTTAAAGAGTGTGATCTTTCTTGTTTTCTATACAAGCTCCAGTTTTATATTCAAGGAGTGCAAAGCTAGCTTTAAAAATTATCTTATTTTTATTTATCTGCTGTAGAAATGTGTGCTTTGTCCATACTACATAACTAAGCCCCCCAGAGAATACACACTTTAGAGAGTTCTGCTTGTAACACCCTTCTAACTAGCCCAAGTGCCAGATACTCTCTTAGTAGAAAAATAACCTATTAATTGCTGATTTCTTGACCCAGGCGGCCTCGAGTGTCCTCCACAGAAATGAACAAGAAAATGGTTGGCCGAAAACTGATCAGACTGTCTCAGCTCAAGGAAAAGATGGCAAGTGAGAAGCTGGAAGAAATAGACTGGGTGACATTTGGGGTTATATTGAAGAAAATCACTCCACAGAGTTCTAACAGTGTAAGCCGTTTTATCGATTTCTTAGCTGCTCCATCACAGTCTGACAGTGGGGCCCATGTTCTTGATTAGTTACCTAGACCCCATCAGTATTTATTTCCGAAGTTGCAACACCATCATAGGATTGGTATCCGAGAAGGGTGTATATACAGAATGCCCTACTTAGAGAAGATCTGGTTATACAGGCTCCTTGGGCTTTTCATTGTCCAAATCATTCTTACTGAGTTTCACCACACATGAAGCAGTGTGGCAGATCCCATAGAGGAGTAAGAGCCCCTTCAGGAAGCAATAATTAGTAGAGATTTGTGTGCAGATCAAACTCCACCTGAAGTAAGAAAATAAGATTGCCCCTATGACACTATAATCCCTTGAGTGGAGGAGAGGAGCGGGTAATCAAAGAGCCCGAGTTCATAGATCCTTCAAGAGCCTTCCTAGATGTAAGATGTCAATTGTAGAAGTTCTGAAATTGCTGGCCTGTTCCAGCACAGTATGGTATATTTAATTTAATGGATATTACAAAAGATCTAACTAGTTTTAAAATCAGAGTTGATTGAGGCATAATGGGAAAATTATATTGTGGTGTGGCAAGTCAGAAAACTTGGGTTCTAAGCCTCGTTCTCCCTTTTAACTAGTGATGTGGTCTTAGGTTGACCCTTAATCTTGCTTTAAGGGCCTCCATTTCCTTATCTATAAAATGAAGGAACTGGCTTTTGATTATATCAAAAGTCTCTCCCAGCTCTAAGCTACTACCATTAATCATGCTCAGTACTCATTTCATTCCCTAATTTAGATCTTGACCAACCTTAGATTTTTTATGAGTCCTGACACCGGAAGTTGAATTCTAGATTCTGAGGCCTGCTCCAGCCTTGTTGTTGTCCAGGTGAACGTGAACAAGTCTGGTTTTCACTCAATTAAGTTACAAATTACATCACAAATGGTGATAGTGACATCGAAATAATAGGTGTGAAATTTATCTGAACTCTTCCAAGAAAGGCATTGTGCAAATCCTTGGAAGAAGAATTATAACACTGAGTCCAGGCAACAGCTTACCACCACCTAGAACTGTACCAACTGTGGGATGCCTCTGTGAAATAGCTTGGTTCAATAGTATTCAAATTATTTTGTTTAAAAAAAAGACTAGAAGTGGAGCTTGTCCATATTATAAGTGATCAGCAGTTTGAGTTGCATTCTTCAGATGTTTAATAATACTCCTGAAATTTTATAGTTAAACATAACCTGTTTTCTTTAAATGATGCTTTTGTTTTTCCTTGTAAGCTAAGCAAAGATTTAGAAACAGAGCTGAATCCTCCTTATTAATATTAATAATTAATCAGTGATAAATAATAGATTTACTAAATTTATATTAGTAAGTTATTAGATGGTAGTGCCACAGCTTCCTCTTGTCCTTTTAACATGAGTGTGTGCATATGTGTGTGACTAGGAAGGTGATACTGTCCCACTGACTATTTAGAGCTGTGAATGAGAGACTCTAGTAACAAGTCAGCTAATGGCTTGCCTAACTTCACCCTTGTCCTTCATCTTTAAAATGAGAAGGGTATACTAGAGAAGGGATTAATTTGTAATTAACAAATATTCTGATGATTGTATTATCGGGGTGGATTTTGCTTGTATATTTTTTCACAGTGGAACGCTTGGACCGTAAATGGAGACAATGTAACCCATTGTTCAAAATTTATTAAAAGTAAGTATTTGTTCCAGGGGAAAACATTTAGCATCTGGCGACTGAATGATCTTCGTGACCTGACTCGGTACGTGTCATTGTTCTTGTTTGGAGAAGTTCACAAAGAACTCTGGAAGACTGAGCAGGGTACTGTCGTAGGGCTGCTCAACGCTAACCCCATGAAGCCCAAGGATGGTTCGGAGGAGGTAAGAATGTTTCCATGATTTTTTTTTTTTTTTGGTCTTTACAACTTAGCCGAGTTCTATCAAAAAGATTTGTATTGGTTTACCTCCAGGTGATAAGTCGTGCTTTTATGTCTGTTTTTTTGTTTATTCCTCACCCACCAATATTCTGAATTTCCACCTACTCTAAAGTGTTTTCTATCAGTTTCTATCGTTATATGTTTTCAAATTAGTTCCAAGGTTCCTGGAGTTATTTGAACTCTTAAACTCAGGTCTCCTTAGATCTCTTTCATAAATTTCCGTGGTGGCATCCATAAAACAAGGTTTTATAGCTGAGGGAACTTTGCTCTATTAGTTAGTACAGCCATAGCTGCGACTTGGGAATTTCCATTTTCAAAGTGAATTTTCATCTTCTCAAGCAGCATTAGAGTTTGGGTACTACCCTGTGATTCTCTTGCAAATTGCAAACCTGGATACGCTATGTATAGCAACAATTTCTCCACCTGACCCATCAAGAAAACTTCTCTCTAATGTAGATAATTATCATCAGGAGGAGTGAGAGACAAAGTTATTGCATTCCTTGCTTTCACCAGAGAATGGCAACAAATCTTCATTTATTACAAATGTGTCTGGCTACAAGTAACAGAAAAACTTCACTGCTGTTTCTTTTGTAACAGTAAATGGTGGGGATTTGTTTTTCTTAGATAATAAATTATCCAGATATGGGCAGTATAGTAATGTCAGGGCTAGGGTCTATGAGTTGCTTAGCCTTTTCCTCTTGGTCATAGGACGGCTTTGAAGCTCTAGCCATCACATCTGCATTCAGAGCAGGAAGTAAGCCAGCCTCCTCTATCTACTTTTATCAGGAAAGCAAAAGCTTTCCCAGCTACCTGATCTACCGATTCCTGCTTCAGTCTCATCGATTCCTGCTTCAGTCTTATAGGCCATGACCACCACAGTACATGACCATCACTATAGGAATACTGGGAAAACTGGGAACAGGGTCCCGCACCGGAGGCTGAGCATTTGCCAGCCCAAATAAAATCAAGATTCTGCCAACAAAGCTGTAGGAGAGAGTGGATATTGGGTAGAGAACTAAATGTGTCTTCTCCACTTCCCGTTTCTAAAACTGTCATACAGCATTGGTTTTACATTTCTATAGCCTGATAGAGCGTTCTTAACTCACACCAACCATTCTTTTATCCATTCTTGCTGATACAAGGCTACGCCTTTGTCTGCTTTTAACTCCTGCCCCACCTCTTTTCTACAGGTCTGCTTATCTATTGATCATCCTCAAAAGGTGTTAATCATGGGTGAAGCTCTTGACCTGGGAACCTGTAAAGCAAAGAAGAAGAATGGAGAACCATGTACACAGACTGTTAATTTGGTTAGTTTCAGCCTTGTTAGGGTGGTTTCTGCTAAAGAAGGGAGCTATTAAGAATAAATTGTAGGTTCTTTAGCTGTAATGACCAACTTGGAACTGAGTTTCCTACATATTGGGAAGAGTCGTAGCATAACATTTTCGAGGTTCATCCTAGAAGCTGATTTTATTTCTGTTGTAGAAAGAGGGCAAAAGCAGCCAACAATGTCATTTTTTTCTTTCACTGGACTAGAGCTTTACAAGGAATTCAAGGGAAGAACTTCTTCCTCTTAGTCACTGCATAGCTGCACTATGGGAACAATCTTGGGGGTCAGCAGGGAGGGCTCTGCACACAGAATGGTGCTCTCTGTAGGTGGGGGAAAGAAACTGTGTCTGTTTGTGTTGTTCCCCAGCCTGTTGCCCTAATCCTGATGCAGCCCCTCTTCGTTTTTGCAGAACGACTGTGAATACTGTCAGTATCACATCCAGGCCCAGTACAAGAAGCTCAGTGCCAAGCGAGCTGACCTACAGTCCACTTTCTCCGGAGGACGAATTCCAAAAAAGTTTGCCCGCAAAGGCATCAGCCTAAAAGAACGGCTGTGTCAGGATGGTTTTTACTACGGAGGGGTTTCTTCGGCATCGTATGCAGCCTCAATGTAAGACATTCTTGGGACTTCTTTGGGATAAGGATCTTCCTTGTCATCTTATAAAAATAAACTCAGTGGTTGTATGTTTCTGTAACGGTCCTGGAAGACCTTGTGCATAACTCACTGCCTGGAGCAAGGTAGATGAGGGCCTCTTTTATTCTCAGAGAGGAAAACACAAGGAGCGGGAAGAAATTGAGTTGTTTCATGATGGTCTATAGAGCCCACACTTCCTCTTTGGCTTCTAACATGAATAGTGCAACTCTCTCAGGGCTGATTGGCCCTTAAAAGAGTGTTAATCACAGCGTTGACATCCTTTAAATCATTTCCCTCGCGACTATTAGAGTGAGGTTGCAGACCTCGTGGAACCCACATTTAATTCAGTGAAGGGATATGCAGTGAAGCTGCACAGGAGCGGATGCTGCTGAGGCAGGCATTCAAGGCCTTTCTTCCAGGGATCCCGGCCTCTTCATAGAGTCCCCGAACTAGGTGATCGATGGCCTTGTCACCGTATTGTGGAAAGCACATCTGAGGATATGACAGGTGGGGACCTGGCACAAGGGAGCTGCAGTTTGTCCAAGAACAACACATAGGTTTTGTTCCCAATCCAACAGAAATTTGGCAAGAAGACTCATACTTCCTGCCCATTTTGTAATGTCAAGCACATTTTTAAGATTTAAAATAATTTCTATATTTTTCCAAACTGCAGAAAGCAATACACATATGTTGTAAGGTGTACATATATGTATAATTCAGCCAAAAGGAAACAATAAAAACTGTCTATAATTCCACCACCTAGATTACTGTTAGTTCCTTGGTATATAATATATACTTCTTGGTGGTGTTTTTCCCCCCATATTTATATTTTTAATAATATAAAGTGAGATTATACTGTGCCCAGACTTTGCAACCTCCTTTTTTTCCACATAAGATAATGACTGTTTTCCTTGTGGATTATTCACTTACGGCATTATTTTTAGTGGCTGCATAGTATTCTTTTGCATGGCTCTGATAATTTGTTTAAACAATTCCTTATGGTTAAACACTAATGCTATTTCCGACTTTTAATAGTGCAAACAAGGCTTACGTTAATATCCTAAATTTTTGCATAGTTCTTAATTATTTTAAGATAATTCCTACTTGATCAAAGTGTTGGCTCATTTTTTATTTCTTTTGCCAAATTGCCCTTTGAGAATGGCCTTCAAGCAAATGTGTAGGTTGCCTCTTGTTTTACATCTGTGACATAATGCATACACGGGGCCATGGTATTAAGAAAGTGTACTTAATACTGTGCTTTGAGAAATTTTGACAGTTTGTAATAAGTGAATCTGTCTGCAGCTTCTTTACCTCGTGAGAGCATTGAAGTTCAGTGATTTTCTTTTTGGGGGGCAATCTTTTCATTTCAGTGCAGCAGCTGTTGCTCCTAAAAAGAAGATTCAAACCACTTTAACTAATCTGGTCGTTAAAGGCACAGACTTGATCATCCAGGAAACTCAGCAAAAACTCGGTAATTTTCTTGCTCAATACTACATTTCTTTCTCCAGCTTAAATGTGTAGTCTAGGATTGAAAATGGTCAGTTCCATTCTAAGTTATAAGTGTCCACTTGTCACCTATGCTCAATGAGTGATATGGTCTAAGCTGAAGGAATTAAGCTCATTTGGGAGCATCTTAAGAAAAGTCAGCATATGAATCTTAGCTGTCTTAGCTTGGTATGCTTTTGAAATTTGTCGTACCTGGGTCTAACTCTTAGTGTCCAGCATTAGAATCAGTAGCGTCAGGGTCCTCGTCAGAGAATGCCAGCTCCACCCTGTACTTGGGGCTTTGTTCATAACAGTGATTAAGGTCTAGCATGGCCCCTTGCCCATGGTGCATATTCCAGCAATAGTGTACCCCACAGATAGCAGCATTCTAATCATTACTTGAAATAAGATAAATTTGTCATGCCCTTATGGTCCTACTAGTCTGATGTTAGAGGTTAAGGGTTTTTTTCCTCTTGATAGTTCATCTGCTTCATTTACAAGTAACTAAGTTATGAACCAGAGTTTAAAAAGTGATGTCACTTGACATCAAGTGGTCTGAATTTTGAATCTTCTAAAGCTGATGCCTGTGTATTCCAGGAATACCCCAGAAGAGCTTGTCTTGCTCTGAGGAATTCAGGGAACTGATGAAATTGCCAACGTTTGGAGCCAGAAACTTGAAACAACATTTAGCGAAAGCCAAGTCATCAGGTAGAGTCAGCCCACCCCTGCTCTAGCGTCCACACCTGAGTTCCCGTGGCCTCTTGGAACCCCTCCAGTCTGTGGCTTGTGTTTCAGGGATCATGGGGAGCCCAAAACCTGCTTTCCAGTCTATCTCGGCGTCAGCCCTCTTGAAGCAACAGAAGCAGTGTATGTTGGAGATGAGGAAAAAGAGATCAGAAGAAATACAGAAACGGTGAGAGTAACGGGTTTGCTCGTCCTCATTTGGATCATCATCTCAGGAATCCTCAGAATGTCTGAAGAGATTTCAAAATTGCAACTTTAGATTCTGGGTGGTTGCCTACCTTTTTAACTTTGGAAGTTTTGAAAGAATTTTAACATCATCTAAATAGCATTTTAAAGTTATATACTTCTGATGTTTGCTAGTGAATCCTGAGACCAGTGGTACAGGCTACAGTAATTAATATCACCGTGGAAAAGAGAAGAGAGGAAAATTGGAAGAGGGTTTTGTGAAAGGGGAAAGCACGTGTTGACCTGTTTGACTCCCATTTTTCAGTTTTGCCACAATTAGGTTTTTAATTACAGGCAGAGCCAATGAGTAGATACTGGAATTATTCAGGTAAATGATAAAAGTGAGACATTGAAATGGAGAGTCATTTTGAGGTAAAAACAAGTGGAAATGGATGTGGAAGGTAGATGAATCAAAGATTCCTGAACTCAAGTTGTCTGAATAATAATAGGAGCTACTGTTTATGGGCGGTTAACATGTACTGAGCATCAAGCTGTACACTGCATAAGTACAGTGTCTCGTTCGGTCCTTACAGTAATCTGGAAGGTACTGTTATCCTTGTTTTATGAATAAAGTCACTGAAGGTCAGAGAACTAGAGGTGAGGGAGCCCAGTTTTGAACTCGTACCTGTTCTGTTCCAATGTGGAACCATGATGCTCTCCCACATCTGGGCTGCTGCTGAAAGGTGGATGGTTCCGTGAAAAGGAGAGTCAATTATAAGTCAAGAGGAAATGCTTTGGAAAAATAAGAGACTGGGTTTGGCCTCAGGCAGGTTAGTTTGAGGTGCTGATGGGATATCTGTGTAGGTATTCATCACGTGCCTGCAGGTGACATAAACGTATACAGTGATGTGTTGCTTAACAACGGGGACATGTTCTGAGAAATGCGTCATTAGGGGATTTCGTTGTGCGAACATCGTAGAGTGTACCTACACAAACCTGGATGGTATAGCTATTACACACCTAGGCGCTATGGTATTAATCTCACGGGACCACTGTTGTATATGGATCTGTTGTTGACTGAAACGTCACTATGTGGTGCATGACTGTTTATATACACGCAGACATACACACACATAAAAATATGTATGGAGTTGTCAACCTTGTGGGAAATAGAGAGCACCTGTCAGTTTACAGGCCTTACAATTTGAAGTTTTTCAGAATTTTGCTGACCAAACAAAACGTATCTTTGGGCAGGATCTGATAGGCAGTTTGCACACTCAGCCTAGAGCTTGCAAGAGTGGATATGTGGTAGTGTAAAGAATACTGGCCTAGGGTTACCCGTACTAGTCCTGAGCCTGATATGTATGAGCACTGGGGTCTTGAGCCTTGACTTCGTCTATAATGTGAGGTTTGGACTAGATGATTTCTGAGGTGTGTTGTTTTTAAATAGCCCTTATAACTGTATATAAAATAATCACGGTGTGAATGCTATCGCCTTTCTGTTAAGGACTTCCAAACGTAACACATGTTATCTCTTCCCGGTAGGGTAAACTAAAATACAGAGATTTGGTGAGCTCCTAAGGGTCCAGAGCCAACCAGAGGGCTAGGAACACAGTCCATATCTCAAGCCCAGGGCTGTGTTCTATAGACGGTACCCACTGGAAAGCCAACTGATAAAAATAGTAAGCAGCTCTAACTTGGTAAAGCAATTAGAGCTTTTTCATTGAAAAACCAGTTAACTGAAGAGGAAGTGAAGCTAATGTTGTTCTTTATTATGTGCTAATTTGAATTATTAACCAAGGAGGGGAAATTATTTCATTAACAACTACTTACAAGCTGGTGGCCTGCCCACAGTCTCACAGTCTTTTCATTTGGTGCTTACACATTTTGTAACTGCATATTTCTTTAAAGATTTCTCCAGAACTCAAGGGAGATTGAGAGCCCAGCTGTGCCATCCTCTTCTCGACAGCCTCCTTCTCAGTCCCCACGAACGGGGGCTGAGTTCCCCAGGCTGGAAGGAACCCCTGCCACACAGATGCCCAAGCTTGGGCGGGGCATCCTGGAAGGAGATGATGTTCTCTTTTTTGATGAGTCACCACCACCAAGACCAAAACTGAGTGCTGTAGCAGAAGCCAAAAAGGTAACTGGCATCTGTTTTCTGCAACATTTGAATTTGCATTCTCCAAGACGTAGCTGGAATTTCAAGCTATATACCTATGAGCAGGAAAGACTGACACCTAATAGCTGTTTATTGATCGTCGTAGTTAGAATCAAAGGAATTTCAAATGATAAAACGGTGTCACCATAATTCCCTTAATTTAACCTGGGAAAGTTAGCCATTATCTCAATGCTGTTTCTTGGCAGGCCTAGAAGAAGGTATTGTTTTACAGCTGGAGACACTGACATTAGAGAAAAAGGTTCTTGGAATTGTTGAGGCAAGACTGTAAAATAGTGGTTTAAAGAATCCTTCTTCAAAAGAAATCTTGCACAGAAGCCCAGTGTTTAGACGGAGAAAAGCCGAGTTGCTCTGATTGAAGTGGGAGTTGGGGGCCCTCAGAACCCCACCTGCTCAGAACGTTCCACTTCTCCCCTTGCTGAGTCACTGGAGCCAACTTGAGCCTCTCTGTTCTTTGTTCTAGTTAATAGCTTTAACCACATGAAGAGCTAGCTACAATCCAAGGCCGTACCTACAGTAATAATAATAACAGCAACTGAACATATTTATTACTACTCTGTACCTATGATACATGCATACATGTGTACCTATGATACATGCATACATGCTATTATCTACAGGTACGTGCTTTGCGTGTGTTACCTCATTTCATCCATACACCTACAACCCTAAAATATAAGTAACTGCTATCATCCCCATTTTATAAATGTAGAAACTGATGCTGGAAAATTTAACTAAGATTACCGACTAGTAAGTAGCAGAGCTGGAATTCTAGCCTAACTCTGTCTGATTCTAAAACAAACTTCCAAATTGTTTGCGTGGTTCCTCTATGGGTCTGGAAGCCTGCAGACTAGGTGATGTTAAATTAACTGTCAAGATTTAGATAAGCTGAGACTTTATTTATTACCTTATGGACCTGTCTCCCATGCTTTTCAATTTTAATAGTTGTGTTAATAACAGTCAGTAGAATGAAGGTATATTTTGCCACTTTATATTTGAGAACAGCCAGAATTCACTGGTAGTAACTGGAAAGGTGTGTGGGCCTGTAGATGCCCAGCTCATCTTTTAGATTTTTATCTGCCTCTCTTTTCTTTCTTTCTAGTTAGCTGCTATAACCAAATTAAGGGCAAAAGGCCAGATTCTTACAAAAAGAGACCCAAACGGCATTAAAAAGAAGCAAAAGGACCCCCAGGATCTCCTGGAAGTGAAGGAACGTGTAGAAAATAACAACACATCTTCTCCTCAAGGTACTGCAAATGTCAGAGTTAGCAATGAGAAAGAGAAACTGCTTATAAAGAAAATGTTCTAGACCATAACCAGCATCCTTGACAGCAAAATTCATTCTTTTACCTCAGTTTACGTCTCTGCAGAATGCCTAAATAGAATTTCCACAACTGGAACTAATTGTTGTTTATAATCACATTAAATTGAAATGAAATTATGCACAATTTGAAAACTCAAGAAAAGAGTTGTTCATTGGAACTTTGTACATATATTAGTATAAAGATTTACATTGCAGGAAGTAGAATTCCTTTGTTTTGAGTTGCCCTATTTGTATTTTTAAAACTCTGAAGTTGGTAATGTCATTTTAACCTCAGTTTGTAAATAGCAATTTTGTTGTTATTGTTATCTATTATCATAATCAGCTCCTATTTTAAGGTGAAAAAGATTCTAATCTAGTGGTCAAATTCCATCTCCCCCCGCCCCCACCGCCATATTCTAGTTTCTACTTCTCAGCTCCTTTCTTAAGAGCCTTCCTTTGCTGGTACCAAGTTGGGTAAATGAAGTTTGAAGGGCCTGCTAGGCAGAGGCAGGGAGGATGGGGAGGCTGAGTCCATGGCTGGCTTTCTGGAATTCCCCTAACAGCTCATGTTATTTTCTTTCTGCTCTAGCTGAGGATGAACTGGAACCTGCCCGGAAGAAAAGGAGAGAACAACTTTCCTATCTAGAATCTGAGGAATTTCAGAAAATTCTAAAAGCAAAATCGAGGCACACAGGGATCCTAAAAGAGGTAGAAGCCCAAAAAATCAAACATGACAGAGGTGTCCTTCAGACTTGAGGCACTTTGTCGTGGGACTAAGAATCTGCTGCTTTTACCTAAACCAGGATGTAGCTATGGGTCACTTAGTTTGAGTTTGCTTTGAAGAATAGGAATACTTCTAATAGATTTTAATTTCACCTTGGTCCTTGCATTGAAGAGCATCACTTAACATTATTTAAATAGACCTCACTGTTATAAAAATGTTTACCAGTACTTATGGGTGTGAAATTATGTGTAAATGGTTCACCACTAGCTACTATTTTCTGCCTTGAAGTAGGGGAAGGAATTTTCCGTTCACATATTTTGATACTGGCATTTCAAATGCACTAAATCAACCCTACTCTCCCAGTGCCCCTTTTTAATAACGTATTTCATATTGCTCCCTTATTATCCTGAAATAAAATTTGTGGATAATGTAAATTATTTAACTAGTGATTTCAAAAATATCAATATTATATCCTAGCTGTAATGTAAAGAAGAAAGAAGCAAGATACTTATGTTAAAAATATGTATTTCTTTATGTAAATATGTGGGCCAACTACCCGGGAAGAAATGATGAAGTAGTCAGAGCTTGGCTTTCTAGGTGTCAGTGAGACAACTAGAAAGGAAGGCCCATTAGGTGTGTTTTCTTGGTAAGTTAAATACCGTGGGGCTATTTCTTTGACGATGTCATTTTTTTTAAAACAGTGAATAATCCTGGGAAACTTTTGAAGACACTAAAGTACAGTTGTCCTTCCATATACACAGGAGTTGCCTAGTTGGACTCTTGGAATAGTCTATGACATTAAAACCGTGCACAAGTATTGTGTATATTATATATAAAGCTGATAAATTCGAGGGTTATAATCAGGGTTTTCATCCATGTGGATGTCCCGTAGAACATTCAGAAGAATCCTTTGTTGTAGGGGACTGTTCCGTGTCTTGCAGAAGACGTGGCATCCGTGGTCCCTGCCGGTAGCAGGGGTAGCAGTCATTGGGATAACAAAAAAAAGTGCTCCTACATATTTTCAAAATGTTCCCTAGGGACAGTATCGTCCCGTTTTAGTGCTGCTACTCAATGATCTGCCCTTCTTTTGATTAAAAAATCCCTAACAAATATAGTTATATATTGTATCTTTCTACTAGAAAGTCAGGAGAAATGCTCAAGCTGACCCTGAAAGGCTGTAGAACTGTGCTCCTTCCCTCTTGTGGCCCTTGAAGGCCTTGGGTCCTTGTGCCTTGTGTAGCTGCACTAACTGCAGAGCTGTGACCACATTTTGCTGCAAATATCTCCGCCCTCATGCCTACTTCCTGTTGTTCCAAACCACCAGGGATTGCTCCTACCAAGTGCTTGGTCTGGAGAAGAGTATTGGATAGACCAGGTTGTTGTCTCTGCGGGGGCGGTGAATACCTTCCATAGCTTGAGTCTGTATTGGAACAGTAGAAATAATTCCCTTCTGCTGCATACTTGACATGATGACACTGTTAATAATGTTAGTATTTTAAGGCTATATTTAGTGTTTTAAAAATCACCAAAAAGGTACATCATCTTTTTTTGCAAATGAAGAGCTTGTGTCTACTTAGGATCATCTTTTGGAGTGCAGTTCACTGAACTATTATCAAGTCCTTATAACAGCTTGTCTTATCAGTTCTATTTTGATTCTTATTAAACTGCTGCCAGAGTATGTATTGGATTTGGTACAAGGTCTCCTGTATGCCTTGTCGTTTAGGCCGAGGCTGAGCTGCAGGAACGCTATTTTGAGCCACTGGTGAAAAAAGAACAAATGGAAGAAAAGATGAGAAACATCAGAGAAGTGAAATGTCGAGTAGTGACATGCAAGACGGTGAGTGCAGAAGATGGCTCTAACTGTGGGCCTTGTTTTGTGCTGTTGTCACTCAGGAGGATCTGAAAAATCTGTGAGATGTGGGGGCCATGTCTTGTGATTGGAGTCCTGCATGGGTCATTTAATTAGGCTGGAAAACAAACTGTCTGTGGTAGACCAGGACCTGGCTTCCTGCTGACCTGGCACCAAGCTCTGATGGCCGAGCGTTTGTAGTGAGATTCTCCTCTCCCTGGACCACAGCTCCCAGTTCTGTGGATGAGCCTCTCACACCTCTTTCCTTTACCCGTGGACCCAAGTTATTCTTATCTCTCCCTCTCAAGTTTCCAGCACATCCTCAGTCCATAGTTCATAGACCCTGGACATCATGTTATGATCCATCACTATTGTCCCTTTCTCCTCAGGGCTTAATCTACTAAGTTGAATCTCCAGGCAGAGTGTGAATGGTATTATTGTCTCTGTTTGCAGAAGTTTTACCCTAAAGCTGTTAGAAAATTCTAAATCCTCTATTCCTCCACATTAATGAAAAATGGCAAAAAAAAGTTCTTGCAAGATACTATCCCTTCCGTTACCACTCATTTTAAGTCTACCTACGTGGCTAATCGGCCCATAAACATGTGTAAGAGGAGGAAGAGGCTTAGTGTTTTCCAATTTTCTCCATCTTTGTTCCTTTTAAAACCTTATATTCTCCTTTACATTTAGGGAGCAGCCCTGAACCAGCTGCTGCCAAAAGGTAGGGCTTCCTTGAGAAAGTTCAGACCTTGGAGGGTAAATCAAGATTTTAACCTCAGATGATAGCTTTTGCTCTGACAAAGTGGCAGACCTGAGGATGTTGCTGATGTATAGGTTTCCTGTTGCTGCTGTAACAAATGATGACCATTTTAGTGCTTAAAACAACGCAAATTTATTGTCCTACAGTTCTGTAGGTCACAGGTCTCTGTGGGTCTCCCGTGGCCCTAATCCAGCTGTGGCAGGGCTGCGTTCCTTTCCGCAGCCTCTAGGGGAGAATCTGTTTCCTTGCCTTTCCCGGCTTCTAGAGCTCTTGTATTCCTTGGCTTGTGGCCCCTTCCTTCATCTTCAAAGCCAGCAATGGCAGGTTGAACCCTCTCGTCGAGTCACCCCGACCTCCTCCTCTATGTCTCACTTCCACTTTTGAGGACCCTTGTGATTCCATTGGGCCCACCTGGACAATCCAGGATACTCTCCCAACCTTAAGACCAACTAATTACTAACCTTAATTCCCCTTCGCATGTAACCTAACAGACTCACAGGTTCCAAGTATTAGGGGGTGTCCCTCTTGGGGGGCATTATTTTTTGCCTACCACGGCTGGCATACCACTCTGTTCTGTCCCCTTTGAGGTTGCCAGAACCGAGAGTTATCTAGACTCAATGTAATTATGAGAAATTGCATTGCACTGTCCTGGCAACTGTTTTGACCTTCACCCACCATTTCTTGTTCTCTTTGGTCCTTTTGAGGATCAAAATTAAAAGCGAATTGCTTAATACGTTTGTTGGTTTTGCTGCTTATGAAATAGGAGTGGTAATAAACTTACATCCTTTTCAGAGGCCATATAAGAGAAAATGAAAGAGCTGCTGATCAGCCTTCCTAATTAGGCCCCACACCTCAGTGTCCTATAATCAAGGGGCGACAACAAATATAGGACAGATCAACCAAAGCCTTTTAAAGGTTTCTGATACTTTTCTGCCTCTGCTGCTGCTATTCTCTTGATGTCATGGAAGGTTCTTGTGTACATCACACCTGGCCGGAAATTGGGGCAAACATGAGATAAAGTGGTATCAGTAGGAGGGAAAGTCAAGAAATTGCCACAGCTGGAAGATGTGGTAGTGACTCCACCAGCACGTCCTGGGTGGTGACAAGAGAGCAGAGTGCCCTCGTAGCAGCTAGCCAGCTTCTCCTTCAAAGCTCTTGACCGGATGTTGCCCTTCTGTCGGTTTTATGCAGTGTGCCTACACCCACTTCAAACCTTTGGAGACCTGCATCAGTGAACAGCACGACTACCACTGGCATGACGGCGTCAAGAGGTTTTTCAAGTGTCCCTGTGGAAACAGAAGCATCTCCCTTGACAGACTCCCCCAAAAGCACTGCAGGTATGAGAATTGCCTAGGTAGGGTCTTTTGTCCCATCTAGGGTCCTTCACCCCTTTTTCCAATTCCTGCATGATGCTGTTCCACTGGAATATTGAACAGTCCTTGGTGAGGGTCAGGCCTTATTTCTGTGACTTCTTACAGCTCCTGGATATCCCTGAAAGCTGCTGGAGGGAGGGACCTTGCCTTTTTCACTGTTGTATCCTCAGTACTTAGTATAGTGCCCGACCCATAGTAGGTCCTCAAAAATGTTTGTTGAATAAATAACTGAAGTATGGGTAGGGTGAGATGGTGAATATATGTGTGTTGGGGGATAGGAGATGGGATTTTTTTTCTCTGCCCTAAGGAATTATCCATTTAAGATACTTTTAATATATGAATATCTGTGTTTTAAGGGTATTTTGCTTGTTTTTGTTTTTGCTTTTTGGGGGGATTTCAGATCCAGAGGCAGAGCTGCTGTGCTGGACCACTCAAGGGGCATCATTCACATAGAAGTCCATGTGCACAACACCCTGTGGAGTTTGTAGTACATGGTCCCTGGTCCATTCAGGCCCTCCTCATCCTGTTTATGTATTCCTTTCATCCCCTTCCTCACTGCCATCGTGTCCTTTAACCCTAGAATCAACTATTCTAATATGATTAATGGCGTCCTCTTGTTGGTTTTCTTGTAAAATGCATACTGTTTTATAGGCAGGCATTTTTATTTTATATAATTGGTTACCAAGTTATGTCTCCTTTTCTTTCTTTTTGCTTGGTTCTGTTTCTAGGATGCATCTATTTGCTATGTGCATCTAGTCTGTTATTTCTACGTAATAATAGTCCTGCATGTTCAGCACCCATCACGCCATCTCTGGATGCCCAGCTCACTTCTGGCACCCTCCACTCTCCCCTACGTGTCCTTTTAGAGTCTGGTGTAAGAGTTTCTTGGGCATATACCCAGGAGTTGAACCAACTAAGTGGTGCCAGGTCGCTCTCCAGGATGCCTGTACCACCTGCACTCCCTTTGGGCAAACACGAGGATCTCTATCTTTCCTGACATTTTTCCCAAAGAGATAGCCTATCTTTTTTTGTATTTTTATTTGTCTGGTTTTTGATATTTTGACTATCTTTTCTTATGCTTTGTAGCTTTTTGAATTTCCTCCTCTGTAGTGATCTGTTCTCTCTTGCTTAGTTTTCCTGTGGGGGTTTCTTTCCTCTTGTTTATTTGCAGATGTTCCTTGTGTATTCAAGATCTTAGTCCCCTTTAGTTTTAATCATTGCAAATATATTTTTACCAACTGTTGATATTTATTTAATTTAAATCGTTAGGGAAGTTTACATAATATTATAAACCAATGTGACCTCAATAAAATAAAAAACGTAAGATTTTAAAAATAAGTAAATCATTAGGGGATTTTTTTTTTTACGTTGTAATATGCTTTTACAGTGTTTTATTTAAGAAGTTTCTTGCTCACCCCATCCCGCCTCCCAAATTACAAAGATCTTCTTCTACATTTTTTTCACTCGCCGTCATATACCTTTCACATTTGTGTCTTCAGGTATTCGGGAAATCCATTTTCTACGTGGTCTAAGGTCACCTGCAAATATTTTTTTGTCCACATAGTGAGCCATTTCCCCCATTACTATATACTGGAGAGTTCCCTCTTTCCTCTCGTTGAGTTGGACTACCCCAAGTGCATATTAAGTTTCCATGTGTACGTGGGGTCAGTGTCTGAGCTCTCTGTCCCTTTCATCGATCTGCTTGTTCTGGAGCCAACTCTGCACTGTCTCACTTCTTGGGTGTTGTCTTAGATTTTCCCTACCCCTTTTTTCTTTTATTTTTCAATATTAACTTAGATTTTCATGTATTTATCTTCATGAATTTTAGGGTAAGTTTATTAAATTCTCAAAAAACTCCAACTGTAATTTCAATTAGGGTTGCATTTATTGAATGTCAGACCATGTGTATAAAAACTATGGGGTGGCGCTGATGTTGTCTTTCTCCCTGGAGGGTTCACGCTCCCTTGGTCCGGCCTAACACCCTACTCTGCAGGGACTGCGGGTCAGGACTGGGTTGGAGACCTGGTAAATAAGGTGCAGTCTGATTCTGCTTACTCCCTGGCCCTTCGTGGTTTTCCGAGAGCCGATGTGTTCAAATGCTGATGTGTGGTTCCCACAACTGCCAGAGAAAAAAAATGCACCCTGCTTGTTCTTCATAGGCCTTCCACTTATGTTTTTAGCCTTTGTGTCCCATACAGGCCCGGAATTTGACAAATATCCCAAAGGGAGTATCAACCATTGTTTGAGAACCCCAGGTCTCCAGCGAGAGTTCTGCTGGTGGCCCTCTACCCGCAGTGGCCCTCCACCAGGGAAAGTGTCAGGTTCTCAGCTCCCTGCCTGGCCCAGAGTCAGCGAATGCTCCCAGGGCAAAATTGGCCACAGAAGTTAGCTCCTCTCTTAAGGATTCTACTCTGAGGCCCCCTAGCTCTTGTCTCAACAACCTTCTAGTGCCTTCACATAAATGATTTCTGTACTTCCTTCAGTTTTTCTGATTGTTCTAACAGAACACTAGTCTAAGCACAGGAACTCTATCCCACTCAGAAGCAGAAGCTCTGATTAGGATCACATTGAATGAATAAAGTAGTTTTGCGAGAACTGATGTCTTTATATATGCAGTCATCCCTTTTTAAGATCATGGAGTGTCTTTCCATTTACTCGTATCATCTCCTATGTCTTTTATTAAGTTTTAAAATTGTCTCCACTGAGATCTTCAGTATTCTTAGCTAATTCTTAGATATGTTAGTTTTTGTTGGTACTGTGAATGGCGACTTATTTTTTATTATGTTTTGTTATTGCTTATTTCAGGTGTAGGTAAACGTTACTACTTTTTTTGTAAGTTGACCTTGCCTCTGGCAAGTTCAGTAAGGTTAACTCTTATTCCACTAATTTGTCTTTGATTTCTCTAGGTAAATGATCATCTGCAAATAATGACAATTTTATGTTTTGTTTCAACCCTTACACCCCTTATTTGTTTTTCTTTGTAGAGTTGGCCAGAACCTCCAGTACTATGTGAAATAATTGGGATGAGAATGGGCTTCCATTTCTTGATCTTTACTTTGAAGTGAATGAGTACAAATTTCTCCTTTAAGTATAACCTTTACCAAGTTAAGGAACACCCTTCCTATTTCCAGTTTACTGTGAATGTTATTAGATATCTTTTCTTCATTGTCTAATCTTAACTTTCCTTTAAATAATTTATCCCTGTGGTGCATTACCGATTTTTCTGAAGTTGAACTTTTCTTTTATCCCTTGGATATCCCCTACTAATCTTGATGGTTTCTTAGGTGAATACATTGTTACTTTCAATTAGCTAATATATTATATAGGATTTTTCTATCTGTATTCATAATTTTTTTTAATGTATATAAACCTTATCTGATTTTAGAACCACAATGATATGAGCCTCATAAAATGAACTGGCAGCTTCCTGAAATAATTTATATTAAATAGCAATTAATTATTTCTTAAAAGTTTAATAAAGCTCAACTGTAAAATTATTTAGGCCTTATTTTTTGTGGGAAGGGAGTGGCTTTGATAACCATTTTGGTTTCATGCCTTCTCTTCTGCCAGTTTTCAGCATTTTATATTTTTTGAGGAATTCATTTCATATAGGTTTTCAAATTTATTAACATATAGTTGTTTCTAATACGCTTTTATTTTTTTCAATCTATCTTGCTGTTTCTATTAATAAGTATTTATTGTATTTTGTTCTGTTATTTTTTTCTTTGCTCTTTCAAGATCAGCCTTGACAGAAGTCTCTTTATTCTGTTAATCTTTTCAGAAAACCATCTTTTAGTTTTCTTTTATTTATTGATTTTCTTTCTCTTTTATTGATTTCCGTCTTTCTTATTTCTTTGGGTTTGCTTTGTACCTTTTTGCCAGCTTCAGTTAAACCCTTAAACTCAACTTACTAGTTTTTAACCTTTCTTGTTTCCTCCTAAATGTATTTAAAGCTACATATTTACCTCTAAATTTCCGGCTTTAGCCTTCTTCCACAAAGTTTAACATGTAGTTACAAGTATTTCTTAATGTCCTTCATGATTTCCTTTTGAACCTAGGAGTTAGTAATGTTTAATTTTCAAATACATGGAATTGATTTTAGCTATCCTTTTTGTCATTAATTTCTGACTTTATTGCATTATTCTTAAGGAACATAATTTGTATGATATTGGTCCTTTGGAATTTGAGGCAATTTTTAGATCACCTTTAGTCTTCCCAAGAATGTCTCACCAGGATGTTCTCACTAGGTTTTTGCTTGCTGTTTGGTTTTGGTGGTTGTTTCCTTCCTGGAATCCGTCCTTCACTCTCACTTCAAGTTTCTCCAGGGTTGGTTTAGAGGGGAGGGGGCGCAGACCCCAAACTAGTTCATCACCTTGCCAGGAGCTGGTTTGTGAATTTTTTACAATCTAGTTTGTAATTTTTTTAAGTAGGTCTTTGTATATTGATACTTGTCTCCTCTCCAAAATATTGTAACAGCAACAGCTTATGTGAAATGTTTGAGTATCAGAGAAATTCTGTTCAAACTGGAAGAGCAAGATGCCTTTTTGGCCTCCAGGTGGCACTGTTATTCTTGTAAGAACAAGTGCTTTCTCTGGTGTTTTTCTTGTCAGTTGTTTATCTACAGCAGAAGTGGGCAAAGTATTTTGGTAAAAGGCCAGATAGTAAATATATTAGGCTCTGCAGGCATTGTGGTCTGTTTCACAGCTACTCAACCTTGCTGTTGTGGCTCGAAAGCAGCCATAGGTAGTACACAAAAAATGGGCATGCTGTGTTCAAATAAAACTTTATTTACAAAAACAGGCGGCAGGCTGGATTTGGCCCATGGGATGTAATTTGCCCACCCCCGAGTAGAACAGTGATTCTTCTGGTAATGTAGTCGTTGATCTACTGGAAGGCTGCAAAAGTTCTCTCAACTGATATTGAACTGGTCTCTAGATGGGGAAGGTGGTGGGAGGTTCAAGGCTAAGGCCAGTAGCAAGCTGACTCTCAGGGCAGGAGTAGAGTCTACACTAGGCAGGGAAGAAGGATGAGGCAGGTAGGACAATTCCCACACCCCAGATCCTCTCAGATGCAAGGATGCTTGAAGGCATACTTCCGTGACTTTATTGTGCATCTTTTCTGTTTCTCTTTTTCTTCCCTGGAGTAAACTTTGTAGAAAATAAGCTTTTCCCATAGTATTTACATCTCTTCTCAAAATTGGACTCATCCCCCATGTTAAAAAATGAGACCAAGTCTCTAGGCCCTTTGAATAATTAGAGAGTAAACATCTTGGGATTATAAAGAAAAGAGGGGAAGGATTATCCAGACCAGAAGGAGAATTAATCCTTTCTTATTACAACCTTATAGTTCCAGAAAAGGGGAAAGGGGCAAACCTTATACTACAGGGCATCAGAGGGCTAGCGCCCGGAGTCTTAGGGTCACCCCAGTGTCCATCAATAGAAACCAGGTTCACAGTCGTCACCTACAGCATGCGTACTCTGTTATATGGTCATTTGAAATTCCATCTTTGAGCTATCTGACTTATTACAGAGTTGAAGGCCATTTCTCAAATCACTGGTGTGTGTATTTTCAGTAGCATTTGAGCATAGCCTGTAATATGAGTGTCATCTTGGTCGGTTTCTGCTTGAATGGGGGATACTCTTCCCCTGAGTGCTGTGAGCACAGTTGTCTTCATGTGTTTGGGCCTGTACCTCATTGCTCAGTAAATCCCATCTTTTCTGTTTCAGTAATTGTGGCCTCTTCAAGTGGGAACGGGACGGAATGCTAAAGGTATGTCATTGCAAGGTGACTAATATTAATAACCCATACCAATAATGTTGACCTATTTCTTATTAAACTATTTTCATTTTTCTAGGAAAAGACAGGTCCAAAGATAGGAGGAGAAACCCTGTTACCAAGAGGAGAAGAACATGCCAAATTTCTGAACAGCCTTAAATAGCCCTGACTTCAAACAGGTACCTGCAACCTGCATTGCTTCTTGTGGCTCTGGGAAAGCAGAATATTGACTTTGTATTGCACGTGTTCCTGATTGACATAGTCAAAAGAAATACCAGTTAGGCCTACAAGCCTTGCCTGCTTTCTTTCCTCCATTGTGTTGATTTGACACCAAATTTAACATCGACCTTTAAGTGGAAAATCAAGGTACCATTGTCTTCTGTGTCCTTACTACTGATGGCTTCATTCACACAATTTTTGATCCCTAAACTGGAAGGTGAATCAAGAGCTGTGTTTTTATATCTCTTGGGTTATAGGGTGTGCAGTGTCACTTCTTTATCACAATGAGATTTTAGTATTTATATGGACACTCAGAGGCAAAAGAATTAATTTAGCTCACCCCCGGGAAGTTGCTTAACTTCTGGACTTCAGTTTATTTATCTGTAGAATGAGGAAGGTTGGACTAAATGATCTTGAAATGTATCTTTCAGCACTCAAATTCTACAAATAATATAACTGCTTCCCATCTAGATAATTATGATGATTGCCTTTCATGTAGTTGTGGTGTACTGATACGACAAGCCAGCTACCTCCTTTCTATTCTACTGTTTCTCTGTTTACTTCTTCGAAATTGATTGTCACTGAATCACTTGGCATTTCGATTCATATCTGTATGGCTGTCTGTTCCCTTATAATATTGTGGAGCTCCGTAATGGAAATACCTAAAATCTCATCGTTTTTAAATATGGCTTTATTTAAATATGGCTTAAAGAAACTTCAAAACTTCTAACAAGAATGAATGCACAATTTGAGGAGCTGTGAAGCCTGACTGAAACATGGAAACATCCCAAAAGACAAAATCTCATGGAGTTGGGACTTATAGATATATTTCATTGTACACATCAAGAATTATAGGTCAAACCTCATATAAATTGCCACCTAAAAATTCCATTTAGAATATTCCTCTGCCTAGGCAACCTGATTTGCCAAATACTATTTGAACCAAGTGAATGCTGATACCGCCTAAGGATTGGGTAAATTGGTAGGATTATTATATTGGGATTTAAACTCTAGCTAGAAATAGGTTAGTTTCCCCCAAGATGGTATTATGGTAGGAACATAACACTTACAGGAGGTGGTTGTGGGAAACGGTTGATTTAGGTTTTAAAAACCCGGAAGTAAAATCTCTGTGCCTTATATTTCATCAAACTCTGCTCTGTCTGGGTAGAAGGTGCTGTGTCTGACCCTTGTGTTCCCCTTAAGGTCATATCCTAATAACTATATTTTTAGAAGTATTTCACTTTCCAGGAATTTTTTCCTTTTTAATTTTTAAGGAAGGGAGGAAAGAATAAAGTGTTTAATTCTTAATAAGAACCAAAAGCACTTGAAACTGGTGTTTTTAGTGGCTCATTTAAGTAGATATATTCGTCCCACACACTTAAAACCAAGCCACGTATTTGAAGTACGTCACAACTGAGCAGCTGCCTAGAAACTGTACTTGTGGTTGCTCTGTGGGGATCCCCTTCCTGTGTAAGAAGCACGTTCTTGTTTGAACCAAGGACATCGTTGGCGTCCATATTAGCTTGTGTATAGTATATAAGTAGTGTAATATTCTTGTAAAGGTGAGCCGAGTCTGGATGCCCTCATTTTTTAAAATTTGATTTTAAATTTTTAAATAACTTAAAAATATACTTGAGTTACTTCTCAGTTACTCTAGCTCTTGGGAGACTTGCCTTTGAGGTGCTTTGTGTGTGCGCTTTCTTAGAATATTCAGGGATGGGAAGGGGTGGGTGGACCTGAGAGGAGACTTACTCATTTGCATTGAAAATAGGATTCTTCAGTGAGATTGGTCTTTTCATCCCATCCTCTTTATCAACATGTATTAAATGCTTTCATGTAAATCCAAAATGTGTGTTTAATTTTTTCTCACCCCATCACTGACAATGTAGGACTTACTGTGTAGTTACAGGCCATGAGAACAGGGAAGTGCACAGTGATCTAAAAATTTAGCAAGCAAAAACTCATCTGTCCTTCATGGAGAACCTGGTTGGTCTGAATGTTCTGCTCTTCACAATAAACTTCTTTTTTTTGCTGTGCCTTTTTCTGTTTAGAGGAAATAAGTACCTTTTTAAAGAAGATCACCTTTCTTTTGAGTTTTGTTAAATTGAAATATATTTTCCCTTTTCAGACAACAAAAGGAAGACAGAAGTAATCTAGATAACAATGATCCAGAATAGCAAATAAGAAACTTCTGAATGATCGGTATGGAATCTTTTCCAAAGGGAACTTAAAAACACTACAGGTTGACTAAGGTATAGCAAAGTGGACAGGAAGAGATTGCATGAATTGGGTTTCTCTGTAGAAATTATGATAGAAGTAAAGCTTGATGTTTATAACAGATTAAATTTCTAACATTAATTTTTTTAAATGAGGAGAGTAAATCTGTTTGCGTTAAGTACATCAATGATAGCAGCCCATCAGAGCTTCTCCTCCACCAGTAAAGTAGACATCTCTGATCCCATGAGTAGAGAGATGGAAACAATACAGCTCTCCAGAAGGGTGGATGGCTCCAAACATGGAGTTCTATATTTACCAATATTGAAGAAAGAAATGGTGATATACCTAAAGAAAATAATACAGAGGCACCAAAGATGAAAGAAATTAGTTGACTTAAGTTGACAGCAGTTTGTGAAAAAACTGGAATTTTTGAAATTAAAGGAAGCCCAGAATATAGCCACACTGCTGGACTATCGACGTCAAAATGGGAAAGAGCCCCGCCGTGACCTGCACAGGTTAGACCATCTGTGCGATGCTGACGTACATTTTGGAGAAAAGCAAGACGATGGTAATCAAGATGGTGAAAACTCAAAGCCATTTGGCCCAAGAAAGGGCAGAAAGAACTAGAAATATATGTACAGTTGATTTTTATTATTCATGGTAATTATGTTTTATGAAATCACCACTAGCTGAATTAGCGGGTGCTGAACCACTGCTCCCAGAGGAAATACAGGGTTTGGTTCCTGCAAGCCTCTGCTCACATTTTCATCAGCAGATTGATACAGCACCTTGTTTTATATGTGTTTCTATTTAGAAAGACCTTATTTAATATATATTGTTGATTCACTACCGTGGAACTCACGGCCCACAGCACTATGCCTCACCACTGAACGAACCTTATCTTAGCACACTATTTTCTCCGGATGGTGCCTCACAGCCTTCTTGCATTTAGGAACACCAGACAGCACTTCAGCACTACACTTGGGGGCCATTTTAAACAGCAAAGTCACCAACAAAAAACTCAAAAATGTGAAAAACATGGCACAAAAAGGACATTTGTTTATGGTAGCAGAGCTGAAACAACCAAGAGTGTTGCTTTGTCTCACCTCACCTGGCAACATGGACGTTGGGCAACTCAAACTTTTTGTTACTCTGCACATGCACATGTTCATAAATGACCACAAAAGCACCACAAGTATTGGTTTTGGAGTTACAAATAAATTTTAGCAATTAAATGAATTTGCAAACACAGAGTCTACAAATAACCAGCAGCAACTGTTTAATATTTCCCCAAACAAGACCAGATTGGGAGTTTCCCATTCTGCAAGATAGAAAATTGGCTAAATGATTTGAAAACGTGGGTTGAAACTAGGATTGGAATCAAGTCTGTTGTAATGTTGCTTGAGCAAAAACTACTCTTGGTATTTTTTTAAGTCAACTTTACTAAGGTCTAAATTTCACACAGTAAAAGGCAAGCATCTTAAGTGTACAGTTCCATAAATTTTGACAAATGTGCACACCCGTGTAACCACCACTACAAGCGAGATAAAGGATATTTCCATCACCCCAAAAGGTTGCCTTGGGCCACCTCCCAGTCAATCCACACCCCCCGCCCCGGCTGTCACTGATCTGTTTTCTGTCACTATAATTTAGATCTATCTTTTCTAGAGTTTCATATAAATGGAATCATACAAAATACACTCTTATATCTGGCTTCTTTCACTCAGCATATTTTTGAAATACATCCATGTGGTTGCATGTATTGGTAATTCATTCTTTCCTATGTTGAGCATTTTGATGTATGGGTGCGCCCCAATATTTATTATTGATGGACATTTGAGTTGGATTGTTAACAGTTTGAGGCTGTTATGAATAAAGCTGCTACCAATATTCAGGAATAAGTCTTTCTGTGGGTTTGTGTTTTTGTTTCTCAGGTAAATATTTGGGAGTAGGATTAGTGGGTCATATGGTAAGTGTGTGTTTAGCTTTCTAAGAAACTGCTACACTATTTTCCAAAGTGGTGGTACCATTTTACACACCCACTAGTAACGTATGAGAGTTCCATTTGCTCCACATCCTCACCAGTATTTGGTATTGTCAGTCGTTAGAATTTTAACCATTCTGATAGGTGTGTGGTGGTGTCTCATTATGGTTTTAATTGCGTTTCCTTCATGACTGGGCATCTTGTTATGTCTTATGGTCCATTCATGTATCTTTGGTGAAGTATCTGTTTACTTATTCACTGGGTTGAGTAGGAGTTCTTCCTCTGTTCTGGGTACAGGTGTTTTGCAGTATATGTATGGGGACTATTTACTCCTAGTTGGTGGCTGGCCTTTTAATTTTTTTAAGTGTCTTTCAAAGAGCAATTTTTCATTTTGTTCAAGTCCATTTTAACAATTTCTTCTCTTTTGGTTCATGCATTTTGTATTCTAACTAAGAAAATCTTTGCTTGCCTTAAGGTTACAAAGACTTTTTCATAGAATTTTTTATATAGTGTTCGCTTTCACTTTTTTGGTCTGTGATCCATTTCAAGTTAATTTTTATATAAGCTTTGAGGTATAAGGGTTGAGGTTCATTGTTTTTCAAATGGATGTTCAGTTATTACAGCACCACTCAGTGAAAAGATTATAATTTCCCCATTGAATTATTTTGGCTTCTTTGTCAAAAATCAGTTGACCATACCTTTTGGGATCTACTTCTGGACTAAATTAAATATATATGTCAATCCTTATGCTGGGACCACACTGTCTTAATTACAGTAGCTTTATAATAAGCCTTGGAATCAGGTAGTGTTAGTCCTCCAACTTTGTTCTTTTTAAAATTTATTCTGGCAATTCTAGGTTCTTTACATTTCCATGTGAATTTTAGAATCATCGTGTTGACTTCTACCCAAAAAACCCTGTTGGAGATAGTGTTTAATCTATGGATCAATTTGGGGGAATTGACATCTTAATATTAAGACTTTCTATCTATGAGTCACTCTGTTTATTTAGGTCTTTGTTAATTTTTCTCAGTGATGTTCAGTAGTTTCAGTGTACAGATTATGTGTGTATTATATCCTGTTCAATTCTAAATATTTCATACTTTCGATGATAGTAATTGGTATTTTTTTTCCTTTTTAATTTCCAATTATTATGTGCTAGTATATGGAAATCCAGTGCATTTTTTTTCTGCTGACCTTGTATCCTGGGATTGTGCTAAACTTACATATTAGTTGAGCAGCTTTTTTATAGATTCCTTAGGAGTTTTTTTTGAGGAAGATTAGCCCTAAGCTAACATCTGCTGTCAATCCTCCTTCTTTTTGCTGAGGAAGACTGGCCCTGAGCTAACATCTGTGCCCATCTTCCTCTGCTTTATACGTGGGACGCCTACCACAGCATGGCTTGCCAAGCGGTGCCATGTCCGCACCCTGGATCCGAACCAGTGAACCCCAGACTGCCGAAGCGGAACGTGTGAACTTAACCGCTGCGCCACTGGGCCGGCCCCTAATACTTCATTTCCTGTTTATATGACTTTTTTTCTTGTTCCCAATCTGCAGAAGAAATCATTTTCTTTCAATATTAAGTATCAAGGAAGTGCTTTGAGTAGGTTGGACGAGAAGATCCATAAATCTCAGTGTGGCTTTTGTCTGTCTTCTCCTACATTCCCTGGGGTAAGGTGACCAATAGAGCACTAGCACACTTGACCTTGAGCTGCAAAGCCAATTCAAGTCCTGGGTTGAGTGCATTTTCAGGTTGTGATGCTGACTTTATTTCTACGTAATTCTTAACCATACCAAAACGGTAGTAGTATCTGACTGTGTTGTTCATGTGATTTAAAGGTACAAGAAAAGTTGTCTTCAGTGACTTACTAAAATTATATACTACTCTCTTTTTTCACCAGTGATTTCAGGACACCAATCGAATGGTGGATTTGGATTGTTTATCATCTAAATCTGCTTACAAAACATAAAATATCTTGCCCCTCAGTATCCCAACTCTGTGCTGGGTACATGCTGCACAATCGAACATGAGCTAATAAAATCATAAAGCCAGTGCTCCCTGCCTCCTGTTAACAAGGTTGTCATTTTTATTTAGGAATGTTTTTAATTTGGGGGTGTACACACTAAATGATTCGGACTCACTAGTGTGTGATTTGAGGCTCATAATTAGAGTGTCTAAATTAATGAGAAGTTATCTAGAAAAATATTTTCCACCTTTGTTTGACATATTAAATCAGTGCTGTTTTCCAGCATGTCCCCTCAAACATTGCCATTCCTGTAGGAAGCTTTTTCTTTAAGTAAGCTTTATGAGAACTACTTAACTATAAATTAACTACAGGTTTTTTTAAATGATAGACAATTGGTTTAATAGGTAAAGTAGGCATCACTGGTCAAAAATGAATTTTAAAGTTTAAAAAATAAAAAAGGAAAAAAAGTGTAACTAGATACTTAAATGTACACCAATCACTTGAAGGGTACTCAAGACTTGGGAATAATGGTTTCCTTTGAGAGACAGGGAAGGACGCTATTCTTTTTTATCCTTTAAAAATTTGAAACCATGTGTTTATATTACCTATTCGAAATATTTTTAATTAAAAAAGTCAAAATAAGGTAGGAAGTGGACAAAACTTTTTTAAAGTGTTAGTACATTATAAGATCACAGGGCATACCAGACTGACTACTTGTGAACCAGAACATCCATATTAAACCAATTTGCTTTTGGACAAATCCCTTAAGAACTTTTAAATTATGAGAAAGTTGTCAAAGAATTAGAACATAATTGATTGAAAATGAATTAGAAATGAAATAACCCAACCAAACGAAACTGATAAAAAGCATCTAAGAAGTTTTAAAAAATTTTAAAGAGCATTCTGAGGCTCACAAAAGTTACCACCTCCTCCCCAAAAATCTAAATAAACAAACGCTCATGATAACGAGTTGCAAAATCTCCCCTGGAGCACACACACACCAAAAAAAAAAAAAGAAAAGAAAATGACAACATGCAAAACTAGTGAATAAAGAAATAATGTTTACACTAATTCATGCTTTGATAAATTTGTTTTCCACCACTTACCTGGAACCCCTAAAGGACTAAGGGATAGTAACTCTTCTCTGTTCTTTCAGAGAAGAGTTAGTTAAAAGAATGTCCCAACGGCCACACTTTTGACAAGGCCAGTGTCTAAAAATGGAGATCGCTCCATTACTGACTTCCTGTTACATGTGGCTGCCTGGATTCCCAATCGTGTTACCTTTGGCGTGTTTCTCCTTCCCCAGGAAGTGACTGTGATTGGCTTTTAGTGAAGGAATTCTCGGTGGAATTTGAAAACCTTGATGTATAATGGGGCTCTTGTTAAGGATGAGGGTAGAGCAAAGTAATAGAATTCTTATTTCTGCCAGAAATATGGGAGCTATTTCTGCAAGCGTTCTTTATCTAGAGCCAGCATGCCAAGCGTGGCCATTGAGGGCAAGGACGGTGTTTTGTTCTTGTAAGTTGGCTGTTCACCGAGACCATTCTTGGTTTTTGACATCTGTATGGTCCCAGTGTTCCTTCCTGTGGACACGGCGGGCCTTTTGAGACAGGTGGCATTGGGGTATGGCTGTGAGTACAATCTGTCAGCTGCCATCCCCCTGGTTCCTGGCCCTCTTGGCAGAGGGCATTTGGGTATTTGGGTGTGTAATAGTTACCAATAAGAGCCAGATTGTGGCTCCTTTTCTTTCCTGGCTGAGGTGAGAGAGCAATGCTTTGCTTTTTCTCTGTTGCAGAAATTGAGTCTGTAAAAACACACGCCTCGCTCATAAATTAAGCTTACTGACCTAAAGGGTTGGGGATTGGATCTGGCCCTCAGGGCCTGGCTTGGCATCCAGCTCTTGGCCAATCAGGAGGACAGTATCATGTGGGTAGAGTGCCAGCTCCTTGATATCTCTGCCCCATCAGCCTGCAGTCCTGACTCATGATCTGAGCTGGCACTGCTGTCCAACTAGCAACCCCAGTTGGCTGGCTCGCCATCTCTCACTTGGCTTGGTAACCGAGCTAAGGATAGGCATGTGTTGTTCCTATATGTCTGTTAGCAAGAATTTCTCATCTACGTGTGGGATTCGGTACCATGAGGAGCCTCACCCCCAAGAGCACAGACCTTGAGTTGGGGGTATATCTGGCCAGTTTGCTAAGGCTCCGTGTTCTGCCACTTCTGAGGGTACGATAGGAAGTAGATGGCATCCGTGCATGTGTCTCCTGCCCAGTAATTCAGAGATGACCATCTCTGACCTTTGTTTCATGCAGGCTGACTGATTGTTCTTCTCTAGATCAGAGACTGGGGAGACGCAAGGCAAACACAGCACTCCATTCCTTTCTTTTGAGATTTATGCTTCAAAACTTTGAAATACTCATTCCTCCCAAATAATTTCAGTCTCATCAGATAATAAGTAAAATTAGTAATGACGTATTGAGGCATCTGCAATGTTTTTATTTTATGCCAGCTTCTTCCACTGCTCTCACATTCTAATTTGAAGCTCCTGGTACTTTCAGTGAGGGCTGTGGAGAGCAACGTTTCCTGTACAGCCTCTCTGTTGAAAACAGGCCTGAAGGCAGTAGGGTGGCTGGTGAGACTATATGGATCATGTTGGTGAGGTGAGCACTGATACCTGCTGAAGTCTGATTTGGAGAATAGAGCTGAGGGTGAGATTTGCCATCTGAGGAGGCACCATGAATAGTGTATATTGCAAGGTTCCCTCTCTCCAACTTTTCTGCCAGTGCTTTCAATTTGCTTGGTTTAAGATTGGCAAAGATGTCCAGTGATAAGTACATAAGCTCTTCAAAGAGAAATCTGATTTATGCAGTTTAACATGCATATAAGTTGTGACCCTTTATTTCATTTCCGGAAATCTTCTTACTGAGAGAGGAATGGGTAAATAAACTCTAGCGTATTCACTGACGTGCAAAGGAAGCAAAGACACACGCTCATACACTGATAGTGCCATGTGATGTAAATATAAAACAGAGCTTACTGAGGGGAAACTTGAGAGCACAGACAATTCCCTGAGCACCCATTACCCACAGAGAAGTGTGCTTAGCTGGGCAGAGCTGCACCAGATGCACCGTGGAAAGAGTTCCAGTTAAAAGGCCCCATCCCCTAATGCTCTCCTTGCTTCTAGAAAGTAGCGAGAACATGTAGGTGACAATGCAATAATGCAGCTCCTTGGTTGAGGTAAATGCTCATGTGAGACCTCATTGGAAAGAAGGAGCTTCCAGAGCTTGGCTTCTGGTACCAGCAGTTCTGTCCAGTGAGTTCAGACCCGCTGAGTAACTCCTTCCTGTGCTCCTGAGAGTGGGGCTATCCGGATTTATATAACTATACATCATGTTGCCGTTATAAAGAATGGAGCATGTGTGAGTATAAACAGAAAAAGTGGAAGCCACTGACAGGGCTCGCCTCAGGGTAGAATTGAGGCAAACAGAAAAGACTCCTCTTTTGTGTAAGAGATTTCCGTATTGCTTGAATTTGCTACTCTCAGCACATATTGTAACTAAAATAATTTTACAGTAGGAATGTCTTGTTTAAATAAAAAAGATTGGGTAAGGATAAGTCAAAGTGTAAAGAAGATTTTAAGTGGTGAAATGCAGTTTTCAGTTGAATATTTTATGCATGTTTTCCCAAGCCTGAGGAAGCGTTTCCTTACTCTCCTCATTTCCCTTTGGAAGCATTTGATCCAGTTTAGACACCCACCGACAGCTAAAATGTGTTGGTAATACAGCTTTAGACTAAGTACCTCAGTCCCCGAAAGAGCATCATCACAATATCCTGGAGTTTCAGCTAGCGGTCCTCTCAGTTAAGGCACATTTAACACAAACATCATGCCACTGAAAACTTGGGCACACTTTGACTTCTGTCGTGATGAGACTTGACTTGTCCACATTATGAATCCCAGGACTCTTGGGGAGAGAATGGCTCCTCGGTTCTACCTGGCCAGGTAAATTTAATGAGAGAGTTTGCCCAATGCCCTTCCTACCTTCCCAAGGCCAGTTCAGCTCCTGCTTGGAGTTTGTGTGAGAAAATACAGTGCTGACTACGTTTGAGGTGATTTGGAATACACATACTCCCTTAATCACTAGAATGTTTCTAAAGATTTTATCATTCTTTCGGAAATTACTTAAAACGTACATTCGTTGCAAAGTGTCCTGATCTAAGAAATAGTGCCACCCCTGCTGGAGTATTTTAACGCAATGAGCAGCTTTTCCTCAAAGCAAAGTTGCCCTGTGAGGCCCTGGGAGCTCAACCTCAAAAGCAGGCTGGACTAGCTGACCAGGGACCCCAAGTCATTGGGGAAAGAGAGGACCCGGGCATGGGAGCAGAGAGATGGCCAAGAATGGATGCTTATTCTTCTTCTAGAGTCCTTTTTGTCTCCTAGAGTACTGTGACCTCCCCCACAGAGATGGCTGCTTAAGTTGTTTTTGAGTTTTCTGCATTCTTAATGTGGGATTCCCAAAGGTAGTTGAGAGTAAAGATGGAAGTAGGATAGATGCTGAGTGTGGGGCAGGAAAGCAGCGTGTTTGGGAGAGAAGAAAAGGGCACCACTGTGGGTTGAATTTTGTCACCCCAAAACATATGTTGAAGTCCTAACCTCTGGTACCTGTGCATGTGACCTTATTTGGAAATAAGGTCTTTGCAGATATAATCAAGTTGGGATGAGGTTAGTAGGGTGCACCCTTATTTCAGTATGATTGGTGTCCTTAAAGAAGAGAAGAGACACAGACAGATAAACAGAGGGAAGATGATTTGAAGGCATGGGGAGAGAAGGAAATGTGACAATGGAGGCAGAGATTGGCGTGATGCTGCCACAGCCAAGGAGTGCCTGGACTACCAGAATCTGGAAGAGGCAAGGACGGATCTCACTTAGAGCCTTTGGATGTAGATGAAGTGTGTCTCTACCAACATCTTGATTTCAGACTTCTGGTCTCCAGAACTGTGAGGGAATAAATTTCTGTTGTCTTAAGCAGCCCAGTTTGTGGTACTTTGTTATGGCAGCTCTAGCGGACTAAGACAGGCGCTATGAAGGCAAAGGAGGTATCATCAAAACTTGGTTTCACCTGCTTTCCAGTCTTGGTTACAGCAGCCTCGTTGTAATCTGGCACTGATTGATGTGACTAAGAAACTAGAGTTGAACCTTAACCTCTTTTAAACACATGAGAAGCACCTGGGCTCAGTAACCATCTCATCACCACAACAGTTGTATTAGCATTGTTCTTTCATTCGAGTGACTACTGAGACACGCCGAGGACACAGTGAGCAGTACTCCTGAGACCAAACTTCCAAACGCCCCAGTCGGTGAGGGGAACATTGCTACTCAGGGGAGGCAAGTTGATGACACTCAGTTTGAGATTCAAGACAGTAATGCACAGTGTTGACGCAGCGTTTTTATTTGTAAGCTATAAGCAGACATGTAATCTTTTCTCTTTACTGTGCCTCTCTTCATTGTTCTGTCAGACAAGAGTCTGACTTTGGGGACAGTGGCTAAGCAAGGGGAAACCACTGCGGGTTTGGTACTAGGAGGCCCCACAGGTATTTGTTCATGTCAGAAAATCATCTGCAAAGAAGCGAAAGCCAGGGCATTTGCATCCATCAGAATGAGAGGCATGTGTGTGTACAGAGCAGGCCCCAAGTTGAGACCCTGTGAGGGTGTCTGCTATGGGGAGAGAGTTGCTCGAACACCTGGGCTGGGTATTTGTGTTTCAAGCTCCACCTTCCGGGTCTGTCAAGCCGAGGTCAGATGTGGTGGCGGTTATAGAGATATGACGGGTACAGGCCATCATAATGCCACTGGCGCCACTGCTCAATAGCCTCCCTCCTTCGCTCTTCCTGTTCTGTGGAGGAGAGAGGAAGTCATCATGTCAGGATGGAGAAGACTCTGGGCTGAGGAGAGCCACCAAGCTCTCTTGGCAGCCTTCAAGCCAAACTGCCCACCCTGTGGTGACATGAACCAACTGTGCCTGTGTACCTTGGTGACGATCACAGAATGTTTGAACTGGAAGATCCTGAAAGAACACCAAGTCCAAAGGCCTCATTTTTTTGGATCGGGCCCAGACAGGTGAAGGTCACAGAGCTGGTTGCCAAGAAAGCCAAGACCAGAGTCTGGCATTCCAAGTCAGAGCTCTTCCCCTATATGAAAGAACCTCATGCAGAAACTGTCTCAAAGACACAACAACTAAGAACCAAAACACAAATGTGACAAGATGACTACAGGCCATAACATTGAAAAAGCACGCAAGGAAATAATTGTCAACTTCCAGTGATGGGATTATGAGTAACTTTTTCCTCTATACTGCTCTGTGTTTTTTAATCTTGAAAAATAAAATTATGTTTTTAAAATTGACTGGAAAAAGGGATGGATGAAGCAAAGTGTGGGGAAATTAGATAATTGTTGATTCTGGGTGATGGTTATATGGGCGTTCATTATACTATACATTTTTCCACGTTTGAAATTTTTCGTAGTAAAAGGCTAAAAAGAACAGGAGTTTTAAATGAGTAAGAAAGTCCTGATTTTGCTGTCTTTAATAAGACATTTTTCTGAGTAACGCTTTTGTGCAGTTGTAGAATTAGGCTATTGATGCCAATTCAGGACTGCCTGTTATTGTTAGGTGCCGTTTACGCTGGAGGAGATATCACAAGGCCTTCAATGTTTAAAAAGTGTCCGTGAGGCCCCTCAAAAGTTAAACAGAATTAGCATATAACCCAACAATTCCACTCCTAGGTATAAACCTAAGAGAATTGGAACAGGAACAAATGAATGAGTAAGCAAAATGTGAGCTAGATAGATGAACGTATATACAGTTGTCCCTTTGTATTCAGGTGGATTGATTCCAGGAGCCCCCAGATACCAAAATCCGAGGATGCTCAGGTGCTTTATATAAGATGGGCGTAGTGCAATGAATACAGTTGGCCCTCCTTATCCACAGAGTTTCTTTTTGAAGTAATGAAAGGGTTTTGGAAATAGTGGTGATAGTTGCACAACATTGTGAAGGTACTAAAAGCTGCTGAATTGTACACTTAAAAATAGTGAAGATGGCAAACTTTATGTTATATATATTTTACCACAATTGAAAAAAAGTATTCATGAAAAATGTTGGGAGGATTGGAAGTCCTAACAGAAGATGATAATATCAAGGATTCAAACCCAAAGTGTCTTCTTTGCCTGTTTTTTCTGACGTGGGCTTCACCAAAAGCCTGTGAACCCGACTTTGATGCTAGTGAAATGTATCCTTTGTGTTATTGGGCTATACAGGACAGCCTGGTGGCTTCAGGGTGTGGAGAATGGGGGTCCCTATGTCTTTAGCACCGATGAGAGCCAGATGCCCTCAACAGAAAGGACCCCTTGTTACCACTGGGTGTTAGGCAACATGGCTGCTGGGAATGTTTCTTTTGTATGTGAGCTTAGAGTTGGCGCTGCCCTTCGTGCTGAAAATCCCCTTCTGCACTTGGTCTCCAGGGACAGGCTGGAGCTCACAGAGTCTGGCCCAGGCTAGAGCTTTGGATATTAGCCTTCAGCTGTTCAGGCCTTTCTCAGATCGGGTAGACCAGCTACTTTCCCTATCTTGAGGGCATGATTTTGGCATAGAAGTTAATTTTTTTCTCCCAGGTCATGCCAAAGTCTTCTTAGACCATTTCACTTAAAGGGGAGGCCTCTCTGGTAAAGAACCATGGCCTGGACAGTGTGGCTTTCATGTAGGGGACCACCTGTGGGCAGGTATCCTTTGCCAAGCCAAGCGTCATGCAGCCAACTTCGGATGGCCTGACTCAGGCTCTGGCTTTGAAGGTGGAGGCAGGCTTATGCTACCACATAAGCCTTAGAAATGGGAGCTCAGTGCACTGTTTATCCTGGAAGTTTTGGAGGCAGAACTCAGGTATTTTGCCTTGTGACGCTGGTGGTTTTGAGTAGAGTTGCAACCAGGAGCCATGACTAAGCTGAGTGAGGCTGTAACCCTTCACAGCCCACTTCCCCAGACCAAGACCAGTGTCCTGGGTGGGCTGATAGAGGGGCCTTTGACGTGGGATTTTCAGGCCTTCAGGAAAGTCGTTCTTGTCCGGCAGTCTCTCTCCAGACCACCCACCTAAAATTCCTCCATTGGAAACTCCAGTCCCTCCAGTCACCCATGGTAATTCCTCAGCATTTGCCTTTATGAAGCAGGTACCTCCAGGAGAGGGCAGACATCCAACCAGTCTCCATTATTCTGAGCATAGGAGACATTGTCAGATCAAGATAGCTAACCAAAACCAGGGGATTGTGGGGGCCTTGGAGAAGGGCTCTGAGCACTGCCACAGCGTGGAGATTTCTGGCAACCTGGCCGCCGTGCAGCAGTGTTCTGGGCCAGAGGCAAGTGAAGAGGAGGAGGATTGAAATGAGTTTCACCTTTGTTGCCTTTACCATCTGGCAGGCTGGGCCTGCTCCACCTCTTTTCCTCCTTCCCTTATCTAGCTCTGGGGAACCCCCTCTGGGCCGCTGTGCTTTGGTCTCCTCACTCCATCCCTCCTCATGGGCCAACCCCTGGATCGAAGAAGGTCTCCAAGACCTCTACACATTGGATCATCTTTCGTTTACAAGAACATGAGCTTTGCTGGCTAACATGCCTTAGTTCAAATCCCTTACTAGCTATGTCACCTTGGGTATTTACATATCCTTTCTAAGCCTTAGTTATTGAAACTGTAAAATGGAAATTTTAAGACCTATCTGAGAGGCTGATCATGAGGATTAGATGGTTCGGTGCAGTTCCAGATGGAGTAAGTGCTCAATCAGTGGCGACAGCTGCTGTCACCACAACCCCCAGAGGCCTGTGCCCTGCCCTGCGGTGTCTTCATCTTTGTGGGCAAGGCCTGAGGTTCTTGATCTTAGTCTCTGGCTTTGGCTGAAGATCTGCCATCCCTAAAGTGCCTAACCCCTCACCCATCATCATGAAAGGGAAAACAGTGATGGTTTTCCACTCAGGTGCTAGGGATTTGGCCCTGAAACATTTAAAAATACACAAAGTGCTGTTATTAATAGTATGAGTTAAAAAAACAAAAACAAAAAACAAAAAAACAACCCCTGAAGGACTTTTGGAGGCCGCATACTCATTTTTCAAATGCCTTTCCCCAAGCTGTCCACCAAGGTACTCGAATCTCCACCAGAAGTATTTCTGTCTGTATTCCGTTGAGTTACAACAGCCTGAATTTTTCCCAGGATGTTCCCAGGAAAGTTTAATTTGCCAGGATGCAAGCCCAACACCTGCCTGCAGGGCTCAGCCAGGTGTCACCTGCAGGACAATGGGCGTGGCCTACAGTCCTCAGGTACCTGGTGACTATCCTTTTCACTAAGAGATGCCCTAAGAGGGTGTTAGCTCCCCAATCCACCAGAGCAACCAAGTCAGGAGGTGACAACTTCAGAATTGAAATCGCTGGCTTCTTTAACAAAGATCACCTTAAATGGAGCCTTATGTCCAAGCTCATGTGTATCCAGGAGCTTGCTCAGGAGCATTTCCATCAAAGTTTGGAGAAAGATCAAAAGAGAAAGAAACATGCACACGCACTCACACTAGCCTGCTGGTCTGATCGTCATTAAATGTTCCTAAAGACTTTTGCTATGGGTGATGCTTGAGGGCACTTCATAGATGCAAAGTCAAACTTCACCCTGTGGGAGGCTGTGGTTCAAAGATAGAGCCTCCCTCCACTTAGACCCACTTTCACACTCACTGCCTCCCCTTGAGGCCTTGGTGAAGTCAGCATGTCCTAGGGGGAGGCAGGAACCCTGCCTGCCCGAGTTGAGGGCAGGAAAGAGGTGTGCCAATTGCCAGGTGAGAGACACTGAGGCAAAGGCCAAGGCCTAGCAAATAAGAAACTAACGGCAGCCGGGTGGGGTCACAGGCAAGACACATAGAAACTTGCAGGTGCCTGATGCCGTGGGGGATTTGGAGCCTTCACATCAGCTGTCGCTGTTGGTGTTGGAAGTGAGGAGGGTACAAGGCAGGGCACTGATGACCAGTGCTTCCTGAGTTCAGTTGCTGGTTTCCTTCCACCAGTCAGATAAGATGCTGATTATAGCGACTAGGTAAATAAAGGCCTTGGTTTTCCAGGGTGAGTGGTTTCTAGAGCCTTTACACTGATGTGACTCCAAGGCATTTGAAAGTGAGTTTGAAATCCTCCCAACCCAGCTTTACCAGAGCTAAACCGTTAGTGTAGGTGTTAGACAGGCCACCACTGGGCGTTCCATCCTCTTCCATGCCTTCCCAAGTTCTGTAGGCATTTTTGTGACTTTCTCCCTTCTTTTCAAGGCTCTCATGGATGTGAATTGAGTGTAGGGCTTCCCTTACCTCTCTCCTCCCATTAAAATTTAGGGAGAAAAAGTGGAGGCAAATCATGTGATCTTCCCACAAAGTCCCACTTGTCCTGAAGATGCTGGCTGAAGGGCTCTTACCATCATTTTGCTCCTCCACGAAGTTCTCAAACTCGTTCCTTTGTTCCTCGTGATACTCTCTCCGCAGCTCGTCAGCCCGCAGCTTCTGCCTGTTCTCCGCTGGGAATGGGGAAGAGTTGAGAATGGCCCCCACAATAGGGACAGCTGCACACATTTAGAGGAACACTAATCATTTTGTCTAAGAAACATAATATGGTTGGGAAGGGGTTGTTTCTTTGGAGGGGTGAGGATGGGAACTTCACTGAAATGGTTTACTCATGACATATAGACTTTAAAATTTGAAGGAACTAGGAGGTCATCCCATCCAACCTGAGGCTTGCCAACAGCCATGTGAATGAGATTGAAAGCGAATCTACTTGCAATTAGGCCTAGAGATGACTATAGCCCAGGCCAACACCTTGCCTGAAGCCTAGAAAGACCTTGAGCCTGAGGCCCCCAGCTAAGCTGTGCCTAGATTGCTGACCCCAGCAAAAGGGTCAATAAGTGTCAGGAAGTGAGACAATAAAATGTTGTTTTAAGCTGCTAAATTTGGAGATCATTTATTACACAGCAATAGGTAACTACTACAGGATATGGGGTGATCAGGTAAACTTCCTGATGAAAATACCAAATGCAGGTATCCCTTATTTTATAAGGCAATGCAGTCCAGTAAAGTTGGCTGTAAGCCTTTTTATGAGGAATCCTCAGTCCACATTATAAAATTGGAGGTACACCTCTATGGTTGAAAGAAATACCCCCAATGGTAACTGAAAACTGTCACCGAGAACACATAAACATAGTGACCATTCCTTGGTGGTTGACCGTTGAAGCTCGCCAACAGTACCTTGAGGCCCAGAGGGCGTCCCCACCTGAACCACTACATCGTGCCTCACCAGCAGTGCAGCTATTCCTCACTTGCTCTAATTTAGCCCCCCAAAACCTCTCTAGATTATAGATTTTTAGATGTAAAATAAATTAGTTTCCAGGTCCATCCATTTCTGCTTTCAAATCTTTACATTGACCTCAATGGTGTGAGAGCTGTGGTTGTCTGGAGGTAATTGTGTAAAGCTCTCTTAGTTTCAAGATATTTCTTTTAACTGGACCAGCTGGAAAAACTGAGGACAGCAGGAAGGCCATGTCTGGTGCAGGACGAGCTAGTCCCTCAGAACGCCTCACTCCCACAGTATGATTCCCCTCGCATCAAATTGGGGAGACTGAGGTGCTGTTACCCCCACCAGCTTGGATGTGCAAGAGAAAGTCGGGGGTTGATAATGGAAGCAGAGAAACTGAGGAATGCCATTGGTTTCCACCCCCACCCCACATTACAGGAGTATAGGGAGAAACAACCAGAAGTATTTCTTTGTGAAATGATAATACCGTAAACCATCTCAAATCCTTCTTGAGAGTAAGGAACTTACAATAATAAGTAAATTAATTAAATACTAGTTATTTATACTATGTTTGTATTATTTAATTTGACTCTGATTAAAAAGCAGGTTATCTGTGAATTGGTCTCAGTGCAGATTGTTTAGATAAATCCCATGTTTTTTCCACCTTTGTGGAAGGTGGAAGGGATTGGTACTCTAGTCCTTCCCCATGCGTTGCAGCTTGCCCCGCATCCACACATTTCTTAGGAGGGGATTCAGGCTCAGAGAGGTCACCTAATCAAGGTCACACAGCTGGTAGGAGTCGTGCTAGGACAGGGGCCAGAGTGCCACACAGCCACACTCCACTACTGTCCTAGAACACACCTTGCATGGCAGCATCCCCCTTATGACCCACCTTAAGCCCCAGTGTTGCTCTTGGTACCAGAAAGCTGTTGTGGGAACTTAGAGTCTAGGAAGCAGGGCCTTGTTGAGCCACTGCCAGTTCCTAAAGAAGCATTTTCCATCCTTATGTACTCCAGAAAAGAAACACTTTCCCAGGGGGGCCGGCCCCGTGGCTGAGTGGTTAAGTTCGTGCGCTCTGCTGTGGCGGCCCAGGGTTTCGTTGGTTCACATCCTGGGTGCGGACATGGCACTGCTCATCAGGTCACGCGGAGGCAGCGTCCCACATGCCACAACTAGAAGGACCCACAACTAAAATATACAACTATGTACTGGGGGAATTGGGAGAGAAAGAGCAGAAAGAAAAAAAAAAAAAAGATTGGCAACAGTTGTTAGCTCAGGTGCCAATCTTTAAAAAAAAAAAAAGGAGACAATTTCCCAAATTGCCTTTTTGGAGGTGTCACAAATTGGACCTTTGACTCAGCAATGAGTCAGAACAATTTAATTTTGGGGACAAGATACCATTTTTATACTGTGCATCCTCTACATTATACACATCCCTTCTCAAGAACATGCATTTCATCGGATTAGTTCCTCCTTTCACTCTAAAGTAACCTGTGTTTTTACTCAGAAGCTTGGAGATGTCAGATGCCTGTTTCCTGGTTCCAAATTCAAGTTTATCAAAGTGTCACTTGCCCTTTGGCAAGACGTAATTGGGCATTGTTCTCCTGCGCATCCACACGAGTTGAGCAGGTGTCAGCAGATGAATTCAGGTGCATCCTAGGTATTCACCAGGCTGCCCTGGGCCCCCACATCTGATACAATGAGCTTCTGTTCAGGCGAGGGACCTCTGGCTTCATCATGCGCCACATTGTTCTGAATCAGCTAACAAGGATGGAAACTATTTGCTTCTCCTAAATTGACTCCTGTTCCTCACTGCAAGTCTGCCAGAAGGTTGCTTCTCTGATTTCCATCAAGAACTTCCCAACCTCCATCACAGTCTTCTCAGTGTTTCCTGATATTTGCTAACTTTTAAATCCTAAATTGTGTGAGGCCTGGAGATTTCCCCAGTGTGGTTATACTTATTCAATTTAAAAAAAAAGGAATTTTATCTCCAAGCATTTTCACCTCCTTTTGTGCCCTTCATTTGAAAACAGTCCTGTTATTTTTACTGAGCAGGTTACCTTGCTGAGTGTGCTGAGGGACACAAAGAGTTTATTCAGACACTCGCACAAGGAATGAATCAAGCCAGACTCAGAGACAGAGCTCAGCGTCCTTGGAAAAATCTAGTTCAAAGGCAGAAAACTCAAATGCCTTCAAGGGTCGGCAGGTCATGAAAATGAGGGTCCCTCATTTTCCACCAGAGCCTACTTCAGGCAAGAAGGAGACTTTGCTTCCAAGCCCAAAAGTTCCCAAATGCATTGGAAACAAGAACTTTCAAAAACATTGCTGGCTGAGCACCACACTTTCAGGGGCTTATAAATAAGGAAATGGGCCCAGGGAGAGGAAGTGTCCGAGGCCACTTAGCAGCAAAGCTGTCACCAAACCGCCTTCCCCTCTCCCAGTCCCGTGTGCTCCTGCTTGCAGTGCTATTGCTCCTGCAGGTAAGGATACCCTGCGCAATACCCCAAAAGCACACCCTGGGACAGTGTGTTCCCTGTTGACCAGAACATATATTTTCCCCTTTATGTTTTTAACTTCTGAAATCAGGATGCATCTCATCACCGTTAAGTGCATTGATGTGGCGCTGTCCCTTTTCGTTCCTTACTCTGACAGCTAGTCAATCAAAGATGTGACCTGCAATTGAGGAAATGTGGTGGAGTTTCTAATTCAGAGCTGCAGTCACTTTGATACCCGAGGGCCTAGGTTGAGCCCTCAGTCCCTTGAGGTCCCGCAGCCTGGCTGACCTGGGAGAGAGAAGGAACCGGAGGGGTGAACAGAAGACAGGCCACCAGCATCCTTACCATTGACCTCATCTCGGGATTTGGGGGACCGCTGGCTGCGCCTCTTGAGGAAATTTGAGGCATCTGATTCCTGCATGAAAATTCTCTGTTCCACACCTGAAACCCGAGAGAGGCCAGTCGTAATCAGCACGGGCTCACCAGGGCTGCCACCGGAGCTGGCCCACCCACCTTGCAGCCCTGGGTGGCCCCTGCACTCACCTTCCTGGGCCTCTTGTCCTTCCACCTGCCTGGTGCCCACTGACACACCAGTCCCCTGCTGCAGCACTGTGGAATGAGAGCACACTGTGAGGGCTGCAGCACCTCGAGGGGAGTCCTTATCCAGAGCCAACCCTTGAAGTATCTGTGGCTTGCCAGGGTCTGGTGTGAGGCCCTGGGTCCCTTGCATACCAGCCGCAGAGCCAGTCTCTCCAGGAAACTGCCAGGCAAGCTGTTTTCTCTGTGTTGTATTGTGTTACACACACAGGCGTGAGCACACTAACACACCCACCCACCCAGGCATGGCCATCTTAACAATAAGCACCCCTCCTCCTACTAGACCCCCTGAGCAGCCTCACCTAACATCAGTCCATCCTGGAGCCTCCCCATACTCATTGGACAGGAGCACAACAGCTAAGAGACAGGAGATGAGGAGCAGCTGTCTACAGGCCATCTTTGGAAAGGCCAGAGCTTCACCTGGGAACCACAGGGCAGGCAGAGAGGATTCTGCAGACCTCAAGGCTGCCGGGTCCTCACTTCTATGTCAGGCAGGCCAGGAGGGCGGGAGAGAGGCAGGAGGCAGGGATGCCACTGCAGGGGAGTGGGGGGGGTCCTGGCTGCTGCTTTCATTGGCTGCTCCTGTTGGAGCACCAGAGATGTTTTTGGTGACTTGCAAACCTCCCAGGAACAGAGCCTGTCATCGGGGCCCAGGCGGGGACAGTTTTAAAGTGGCCTTTCCAAGATCTATACCCAAGGAGTTACTGTTGGAATGCCCAGTCCCACAGTCAGGATTCCAAAACAAAGGGCAAGTTTCAAAGAGCTCTTGGCATCTGCTTTGGGGGTGGGTGTGGGCATGGGGGTGGGGACCCAAGCCCTGGAGGCTGAAGCATGCCAGAGGGAGGAAAAGGGGCTCAGCTGGGGACTTTGACTCAGACATCAGGCCAGGAGGGACCATAAAGACTGGAAGACCTTATCAGGGTGATGCTTGCATAGACACATGGGCCATTCTGATGGTAACCAGAGTACCCCTCACCTTGACACATTGTCCCCAGCTGTTGCTCACTGTCAGGCAAAACATGGACCTCTTGGCATGGGGTCCCAGAGCCCTTTCAAGACTTTGAGGAATAGAGACAATCAGCCCTCCACTGTGGAGTGGGAGAGGTGCATAGTGTGTGAAGAGCCCCACAGCTCAGCATACTTTTCTAGGAGGAGACAAAGGCACACCCCATGTCAGGGAAGAAATGGGTTCCCAGGAATGGGAATGCTAATGGAATCACAGCTCTCTGGGGCCATCAGAGCCCAGCCTCTTTGGAGGTGTGTTCTTGACATTGTCATTTATTATGAACCATCCTCAACTCTTTGCTACCAGCCAAAGAGTTGCACTTTGGGCATTGTTTAGGATTTTCCTAACGTTGACCATCATTAGACCTAGAACACAGCCCACACCCACCCAAAACTCCCCTTTTGTTAGACTTGCATGGTAACATCCCATGTGTGCTTGGACCATTGGCCAGGACAAGAATGTTAATGGCAGAGAAAAAACCGAGGCAGAGTAAACAAAACAAATGGGTTGGTTTCCAGTGGAGGAAAGTGCTGCCATCACCTGTGCTGGCTCTTGGTGGCTAAGAGCACACATCAGGCTGGGAGACACTAGCTGACCCCACTTAACGGAGGTGGACGTGGGCTCTGTATGATCAACCCAGGAGGAGCAACACTCATGAGGACACATCAGCAAGAACTGGTCTATCAGATTAACTAGATGTTGCCTGGGAGAGGAAAGAGTCACAGGGCAGCATGATTTCAAAATCGCAGGGACACTGGGTGAGAAAGTGGGTGTGTGAAATACCTGTGACATCCTTGATACCCTAATTCCTCTTGCTGTCTTTTTCAGTTCCATTCATTTCAACCACAAGTACTTATTGAACACCTCCTTCCAGCCAGGCACCTCTGCTAGTCACTGGCCAACCAGCTTTCAATAAACCTGTCCAATGTCTTGAAGTAACTTCCACCCCAGGTTGGACTCGACTTCCACTGTCCATGCAGAAAAGCTTTAGGGAGGAAACTCAAGCCCCTTGTAGTTTTCTCAGACGCACCCTGGGAGAAAATGGCAGGAGATCCAAAATTTGCTGAATGGAGGAATGAAGGCTTGAATAGGGAAGTAAGCTCAGTTCTGAAAAAATAAATTTACATACATACATACCTAAGCTAGTGGCCTGAGATTTCTACCGGCTACACTGATCTGCTCCAAGGAATGGTTTGACCATAGCTGGTTTCCAAGTATAATCTCTCAATTCCTTCAGAACTTTGTCTCCCTATAGACCCATTGGCCTCCACAATTTGTGTACTTTTCCACCTTCAGCTCCTCATTCCTGGGGCTGCTCACCATGGCTGGCTGTGCTGCAGAGGTGGCCTTCTTGTAACATTATACCCCAAAGTATAGCAAGCCACACCATCTCAAGGCAAAGGCATGACTCTAATGCAGCCATAATTTTGTGAATATACTGAACACCATTGAACTGTGTACTTTAAATGGGTAAATTGTATGGTATGTAAGTGGTATCTAAAAAAAGCTGTTCGAAAAACATATATGTGTATATATACATATACTACATAATATGAAGACAGCTTCAGAATACTCATCTATAGGTGTCACTGGGCGTGGTGGGGGGCGCTTATCAGGAAGACTTCAACGAGGTGGTGAAGGCTGAGATAAGTCTCGAAGGACAAGGGTTTCCAGAACCCAATTACAATGGAAGGCATTGTCAAAAGGCACAGAGTAAGGCCCTTTTGAGGAACTGTGGGCAGGTCAGTAATACCAGGAGCACATGGAGGGGCTAGAGATAGACAAGGCCTGGGTCACACAAAGGAGTTTGGCCTCCTTCCTTGTAGGCAGTCTAGTATGATGGATATAAGCACGGATCCCCTAGGCCAGCCTCCAGTTTCAGTCCCAGCTCTGGGCTTAGCCAGCTGCGTGGCCTTGAGCCAGTCATTTTACCTCTCTGTGCCCAATTCCCTCTTCTGTCACGTGGATTCATGTGAGAATTAGAGTTAATGTATCAAAGACCTTAGAATGATGCCTGGCATACACTGAGCAGAGCATTATATATGTGTTTGCTGTCATGACACAGTAATGAACCATTAAATGATTTTGAGCAGGGAAGTGACATGAGGTTTTTTTAAGGAACACCACCCTTCCAGTGATGTGAAGGGTGAGAGAGATGAGACAAAAGCTGTAAGACTTAGAGAAGGTTGTTGCAATAATCTAGGTGAGAGATGATGTCAGAAAAAGGCAGGAGGAGAAGGATGGAGAGGGCATGGCCTTTGGAAAGATTGAAGAAATAGAATTAATAGGACTTAATGACTAATTAGCAAGGAAGGGGCAGTGAGGGGTTGAGAGGTACACATGTCAGATGGCTCCCCAGTTTCTAGTTTGGGTAACTGGGTGGATGGATGGTGAAATCATTCACTGAGGTGGAGAAAACAGAAGGAAGAGAAAGTTCAAAGGACATGTCATTGGACAAATCAGGTATATGATACTTGTGGGATTCATACGAAGTCTTCTGATGTCAAATCCGGTGCTCTTCCCATTTTCCTACAACCATAGTTTTGTGAGTATGCTAAACCATCACCACAATCAGTTTTAGAACACTTTCATTACCCCCAAAAGAAACTCCATACCCATTAGCAGTTACTCCCCATTTTCGTCAACCCCCAAAGCCCGAGGCAACCACTAATCCGCTTTCTGTCTCTATGGATTTGCCTATTCTGGACATCCCATCTAAATGGAATCATACATATGAGACTCATTGTGACTGACTTTTTTCACTTCAAATACTGTGTTCAAGGTTCATACATGTTGCAGCCTGCATCAGTGCTTCATTCCTTATTGCTGAATAATATTCTATTGTATGGATACACCATATTTTATTCATCCATTCAGTTGATGGGCACTTGGGTTGTTTCTACCTTTTGGCTATTATAAATAATGCTGCTGTGAAAGTTCTTGTGCAAGATGCTTTTTTGTGGACATATGTTTTTATTTCTGTTGGTTCAATACCTCGTAGTGGAATTGTTGGGTCAGATTGTTTGTGCCTACAAATGTGGGTTTTTTACCTGCAACACAAGAGGGGCCAAATAAAAACTGGAATGCCAGGCTTATGGCAAGGAAAGTGTTTTTATTTTGGATGGCAGCTGGGAGACGAGAGTGAGCCCTCAAATTCATCTCGTTTCGTCTCATCTCCCTGAAAGATGGGAGGCCAGGGGTTTTAAAGTTTTGTGAGGAAAGTAAATGCTTGTAGAGTGGGGGACAGTCAGTGGCCTAGCTGATCAGAGCTTTCCCACCAGCCTGCGTTCGGCCTTGGAGTGCTGCTTACAGGGAGGAGGATGATAAGGGAATTTGCAGGTGGCTGTCCTTGGCTGTTTGTCTCCATGGTGGATAGTGGATTTTGGAGCCAGGGAGTAAGCAGGGAATGAGTGCTTTTGTTTTAACCCCATATATGCTGGGTTTAATGTAGGGGAACTGATATCAGGGCCAGCATCAATATGGTAACTCCTTGTTCAACTTTTGAGGAACTCTCACGTTATATTTAAAATGTTCATTTAATTGCCTATCTCAGTATGTGAGATCTCTTTGAGGCGAAGTTTCCACCTTGTTCACACCTAAAACAGCGCCTGGCACAGAATAGATGCTTCAAATGTTTATTGAATTAATCAAGGAAGATACTCTTTGGTGAGGGCATTAAAGGGAAACATTTCTGAGCTCATTTCAACAGGCTATGTTATGCCAGTCTCAGCCTATCAATAATTAGCGTTGTGGTTGGACAGTCCTTTGGGGTTCTTATTGTGATTGTAAGATGCCCTTCAGCAATAACCATCAGGAAACTTTGAAAAAAATAAAGGTTGATTACTTACAGGACCTAGAAATTACACAGCATGTCTGGGACCTCACAGAGAGGTAGTGGGCAGAGAGAGTGTGCATGGGCCTGGGGTTCTGCTTTTATTGGGTCCATGGGTAGAGACCAAAGGTTTTGTGGGCTCACTCTTTATTGGTGAATTAAAAACATAAGAGTGGGAATTTAAAGTGTAGGAAGATAAAAAAAAAAAAGTGGCCTAAGTGGTCAGTTATTAAAATCCACCAAGATCTCTAAAACAAAGGAGCCTCTGTAGGGGTAGGCGGCCTGGCTCTTTATCTAGTCCTGTGGTTGGCAATGTGTTTATTCAATATAGCCATCCTTGCAGTGGATGCCTTGGCAATCAAAACTTAAGTCAGGCATTTGCATCACAAAAAAGAAAAACACAACTGTCATGGCTTACACTCCAGCTCTTCCTAAGGTCCTCAGGCAGGGACCTGAAGTTTCCAAGTTTATGTATCACTGGGTTTAGGATCCTTCTCAAGCATCAGGAATGAATTTTGTAGTGCATTTATGGATTACCTCAGAGGGCAACCAGGATGGCTTTATCATTCCCCTCAGCTTGACTACGCTTTAGACAGGTTTATTTCTCACTATAGGTCCCTGACTCCCCTTTTCTTAGAGCATTTACTTTAGGAAACTTGCAATTGTAAGTTCTTTCTCCG